TCAGTTTCCACGATTTTGCAACAAGTTTCCATGCATGCTCCATGAAGTTTCCATGGCTGTCTTTTTTTGACCTGCTGGGTTGTTGCTGGCTTTTTCCCATTAACTTCCCATGAACTTTCCACAGGCACTTTCCTAGACAGATTCCACTGTTTGCCATGAAGTTTCCATGCATTTTCCATGTAGTGTTCATAGATGTGTTTGTTTCTTGTTTTTTCTTTTTGGTGTTTCCGCCTGCTGGCTTGTTGCTGGCTTGTTGCCATGAAATGCCCATGAACTTTTCACAGGCACTTTCCTAGAAAGATTCCACAGTTTTCCTATGCACTGTTGCTTGGTTTCTGTGTATTTTCTATGCACTTTTAAAAGTGTATAACAAGTGCATAAAAGGTGCATAATAAATGCATAAGACATGCATAGAACATGCATAGAAAGTGCATAATAAATGCATAGAAAATGAGTAAGAAATGCATGGAACATTCATGAACACTACATGCATGGAAACTTCATGGAACATAGTGAAATCTTTCTAGGAAAGTGCCTGTGGAAAGTTCAGAGGAATTTAATGGGAAAAAGCCAGCAACAACCCAGCAAGTCAAAAAAAACAACAACCATGGAAACTTCATGGAAAATGCAGGGAAACTCGATGCAAAATCGTGGAAACTGTCTTGGGAAGTTCATGTGGCAAGTTCATGGGAATTTCATGGAAAAAGCCAATAGCAACCCAGCATATTAAAAAAAAAAAACAACAACAATCACGGACACTTCATGGAACATGCATAAAACCTTTCATGGAACATAGTGGACTCTTTCTAGGAAAGTGTCTGTGGAGAGTTCATGGGAAATTCTTGAGAAAAAAACCCAGCAGGTCGCAAAAACACAGCCATGGAAACTTCATGGGAAATAGTGGGCTCTTTCTAGGAAAGTGCCTGTGGAAAGTTCATTATAGTTTCATGGGAAAAAGCCAGCAACAACAGCAGGTAACAAACAACAACCATGGTATATATTATTTAACATTTTTATTTTGATGAATTTGCTTCTGAATCTATACTTGATTCAGTGTGAATGCACTTGTAAGTAAATCTCGCAGCCTGAATCACTACTTGTGTCAGTAAGAGTACTCAGGTGAGTAAATCTGGCAGCCCGGGGAAACAGCCAGCAACAACCAAACAGGCCAGAAAAGAAAAACCACGGAAACTTCATGCAGTGTTCTTCCCAAGAGCTTGGACTAGCCATATAACCTTTAGACGAATTTGCTTCTGTATCTATACCTGTGTCAGAGTGAATGCACATGTAAGTACATCTTGCTACCTGAATCACTTACTTGTGTCTATGAATTTGCTGTAAATTTAGTTTTCCATGAATTTCCATACATTTCTTATGCGTTTCTTATGCATGCTCTATGCATTTGTTTTATGCAATTCCTATGTATTTCTTATGCAATTCCAATGCATTTCTTATGCGCTTTTTCAGGCCTCCTCGACAGATTAAGGCCTTCTTAAAAAATACGTAACTTTTGCGTTTAAGTAGAAATATACGTAAATTCATCGATTTTCTTAAATCTATGGATTTCTTGAATATAAGAAATCTGCAGCCTTAGGGAAGTTTCAGCAGAGTAGCGAGACGGCCACCAAATGCTTCGGTGATGGAAAAGTGCATTGAGTGTCCGTACTACGAAAGTTCCTTCGAAACTTCCTTTGATTAATGCCAGGTGTTTGGTTGATTCACCCCGAATCCCCGGGGCCTTCACTCTCGAACACGGCATTGACATGGCATTTTCTCCCTCAAAGTCGATGAACAACATCGATGCTGATGGACCCGATGTGTCCTCTTCCCAAAAAAGGGGACTTCCTGTATACAGGGACATACATGGACTGATTGTAACTATGTGTTGCTCACATAGGCTACTCAATTTCGCACCTTACATGAAGGAGACAAGCCTTTTTGGGGTTATACAGACCTGTCATGTTTTTTTGCTGTTTGGGGTCGAGGCTGGTGTAATTCGCTTAATATTACTGACAAGAATAACCCGGTTTTGTAAATTGCACCCCGTATTTAAGCCGTACGAACCCCGTATTTAACCTGTAAACCCCGTATTTTTCGTACTGGTTACAGAAACCAGGTTTTCCATTTTGTACCCAGTGTTTTGGCACCCCCTGCCTTTTTGTTCAGGGTTTGGGTGCTCCAGGAAATTGTCGATTTTCCCGGGTCCTTTTTGACTTGGGGCTTGTCTCCCATCACTAAATCGTGCTTTAAACCAGCCACAAAAAGGGGGTGATCACCCAACACAACGCAAAACCCTCCTTTTCGAGCACCCCGAGGTCACGAAGTAGGCTCTCTCCAGGAAAAGGACCCAACTGGGCGTAGGCTTCGGTTTCGGGCGCTCCTTTACTTTCTCTGTGCTGGGCCCTGACGAATTCCTCAGGGGCAAATGTCTGCAGAAGTGGTAAAACGGGGTTGTCTTCTTTGGGAGGCGAACCTTCAATCGGGCACTAGGCCTTGCACTCCTGTGTCTCCAGCCAAGCACTTTTTTGCTGCTAGATTAAAGCAGTCAGTAATTTCCATTCTGTGCAGGGGCTCACCTGAAGCTAGAACCGCTTTTGAAAACCTCTTATGGGCTTTGGCATTCTGAATTGCCAGGTCAAAAGATCCTTCAGGCAGCAAAATCTGGATGTCCAAGCAGGTACAAATGCTGGGAAATCAGCGGCCACCGCTACTGCTGGGCAGAGGCCGGGAGGGGCGGCCGCCCCAACCACCGCCACCCCCAGTGCTGCCAGTGCCCGTGCCAGTGCTGCCACTGCCGCTGGAACCGCCACTTGGACTGGTGCCAGGAAGAGGTCGCGAGGGGCGGCCACCAAATCCTCCGGGTGCGTTGCGCGGGCTGCTGTTGGGCAAAGGCCGGGAGGGGCGGCCACCCCAACCACCGCCACCCCCAGTGCTGCCAGCGCCCGTGCCAGTGCTGCCACTGCCGCTGGAACCGCCACTTGGACTGGTGCCAGGAAGAGGTCGCGAGGGGCGGCCACCAAATCCTCCGGGTGCGTTGCGCGGGCTGCTGTTGGGCAAAGGCCGGGAGGGGCGGCCACCCCAACCACCGCCACCCCCAGTGCTGCCAGTGCCCGTGCCAGTGCTGCCACTCCCGCTGGAACCGCCACTTGGACTGGTGCCGGGAAGAGGTCGCGAGGGGCGCCCACCAAATCCTCCGGGTGCGTTGCGCGGGCTGCTGTTGGGCAAAGGCCGGGAGGGGCGGCCACCCCAACCACCGCCACCCCCAGTGCTGCCAGTGCCCGTGCCAGTGCTGCCACTGCCGCTGGAACCGCCACTTGGACTGGTGCCAGGAAGAGGTCGCGAGGGGCGGCCACCAAATCCTCCGGGTGCGTTGCGCGGGCTGCTGTTGGGCAAAGGCCGGGAGGGGCGGCCACCCCAACCACCGCCACCCCCAGTGCTGCCAGTGCCCGTGCCAGTGCTGCCACTGCCGCTGGAACCGCTACTCGGACTGGTGCCAGGAAGAGGTCGCGAGGGGCGCCCACCGAAGCCACCACTGCCCCCGGGCATGCCACGCAGCATTGCAGGAAGGTCCTCATCTGTCAAATTGGTCCGGGACAGGACGCTGAAGCCGCTCGTCTTGGCTGGTTCCTCTGGATTTGGGCGATTCGCGCCAGCGACTTCGCTGCCTGACTTGCCAGCACGTTTCACAAAAAAAACAACCTGGGTCAAAAGGTCTGACCAAAAAGTAAAACAGTCCATTGCCCACAACATGCCCCGCAAAGACGGGCTTGAGGCAGGCTCTGGTTGCGTTGCCTTCCTCAGCTGGCTGACTGTGCGTCGGACATGCGCGTGAGCCACAAAGCAGCCCCTTACAAAGGTGGTCATCATCCAGATAAAGGGAATCCCGTTTGTGGTTGTCAAGACTCCTGTTCCCATTGCAAGCTGATGCATATGAAGGAGCGCCAACTTGCTCGTGGCCCAGGTGGGAGGGGGGAGGGAGGGGTCCCGATAGAAATTCGGCCAGAAGAAAGGCGGCTTTAAGTCAGCATCTACAAGCGCTTACATTGGGTACCTTTTTTGGATTGGGCATTGAATGGTACCCCCCGTGTCCTCCCTAAATCCACCTTAATACTCCTGTCCATTGCTTAGATGTGTCCGCGGCAGAAATCAGGGACAAAACCCACATTTGTCAAGAAACACGTGAACGCATCTGCAGTTTCTAGATTTCCTTGCCTTTGATCCACATGCATATGATTCATGCCAAAGAACGCTACCATTGTCTTGCCCAGGCTCGCATCAAGAACTGGTTCCGCCACGGCACTGGACGCCGCAACTAGGAAGACAAGGCGCAACATGGCTCTGGATGCTTTGGCGGCTGAGATCCAAATGGGCTGGCGAAAATCCCCTCGTTCAACCACCGCGCCCGGGCCCAACAACCAGCGCTTAGCCTTCGGAAAGCCAAAAGAAGGTTTATCTGGGTCTGTGTTTAAAGGACAACTCCCTATTTTGACACCTATCCAAATCGGTGCTCAAACACATCGGCGTTGCAAGGCAAACCGACAGAAGACCTCACTTATCCATAAGGCACACGTTTGCTGTTGTGTGGTTTGTTTAGCAGGCCACTGTCGGAACCCCGAAAAAAAAATCCAATTGAAACAGGCAGCTATATATATATATATGTATAGGCTAAATTGACAAAGCATACAGCAGGACAGAACGGAACTGTAGATACAAGATATTAAATAGCTATCCCAAGCTGCGGCAAAGCACCTTGTCAAGGCTCTTTTTGGAGGCTTGCAACCAAACAAAGTCCGTACATCTGACAAGTTGCTGATGTCAAGGCTGTCCGAACTGTTTTTTTGCGGGGGACCCTGGTGACATGCTGCGCAGCCAGCCGCAAAAAACCGTGACACTATAGTTGTTTAATAGTTGGCTTCCTTTGAACCAACCTCACAAAAGGATCACTTCGGGTTACAGGTTCAAACCCCGAAACGAACGGCGACCCACTGCTGGCCAGGCGCCTGCACTTCGCCGCAGTCCCCAGCCTCGCCGTGGCCCCAGGTGACGACGGTGCCATCGGAGCGAATGGCCGCGAAGGCCCCGTCAGTGGCGGCGATCTGGCACACGTTCACCAGCTGGTCCCGGACAACCTATGGCCATGGGTCAAAAGCCCGGTTAGCCCCCAGTGAACATCCCAATCCAACCACTAAAATATAGGTTCTAAAATGGTGGTGCACCTACCCCAAAATGGTATTTGTTTTGACCCACAGCCCTATGGGTTCGACTCAAGGCTCGGGGGGTATAAACTTGGGCGCTGTTGTATGATGCTAGCAAATGCCTGGCTCTGGGCCTTAAGCCGCCCCCCTTGTAATCTGGTCTCATGAACCTCCAAGAAAGGCTATGGGGAAACGTAGGGGTTCAGCCTTGGCCCATCCTGGGCGAATCCAGGGATACCCCGGGCCCCTTCTTTGGAGGTGTCTAACAACTCATTCGACTAATACCCGCAGCTGGTAAACACTGCCCGCTCTGGCTCTCTCCCCTTGCCGTCATGCCCAGTCCTGGCAGTCTCCGCCCATCTCCTTACTCGCAACGCGAGAAGACAAGGCGGCATCCGCCGCCCAAGTGCTGTCGAGACCAAATCAGCTCCAAACATAGGGGGGCCTTTTGGAAAAATCGATGGCCCTGGTAAATGGAACAGGCCCCATCGAAACCAGTGCCATCTATTTGTTTATCGAAACTAACCTAAAGAGGACACCTATGCCTCCAAAACAACCTGTTTGCTGTGTGCTGCGTGCAGACATGACAAACTCCACTACGTCTGATTCAAGCTGATGGATGCAACAAGTATGACGTGTTCCAACGGCTTTCCGAGTGGCAAAATGAGGGCAACATCTACGCACTGCTTTCGAAGTCGTTTATCTATCCGCAAAGACTGCGACTCCTTGACGGATGTGCTTGTTTTGTTCAGTGCTTGGGCCTTTAAACATGGAAAACCAGTCAATGGGCGCTGGTCGGCATCCTTGTCCCGGGTTCTCAGAGGGCTGAGACTATCAACAAACAATCACCGCAAAAGGCAAGCGAGTTTGAGTGTGTGTGTGTTGGTCATATAACTTGAAGGGAAGCCCACATTTCCGTTACACAAAGATACCATTCTTTAAAACTCCCCACAACTAATCTGCGGTCTACCCTACAAATCACGCACCCCAGTTGTTTTTGGTTGTTTTAACCAGCCGATCAGCGCCCCTCGCGTTGCACCCCGCCGCCGCGTGCGGCCGAGCCGCCGCGTCGCCCCAGGCCTCCACCGCGCCGTCCAACCGCAGCGCCGCGAAGGCACGGCGCGAGGCGGCGAGGCAGCGCACAGCTGCGGAGGTCTGGGGGTGGTGGTGGTCGGTCGTGGTCGGGGCGGGTGGCTTCCGTTGAAGAAAACCCTATGGGGTGGGTGGTTTTTCGAGGGCTCAGGGGTCATTAGAGGGGGCGGGGGGTGGATTTTCTAGGGGGCATTCCATTTCTCATTGTGTGGCGGAGCATGGGCGGTTTTTCTTGGGGTTCGGTGGCGTTCTGAAGGGAAAGCCATGGGATTGGTGGTTTGTCTAGGGCTCATTCCCTCATTCCCTACAGGGGGGGTGGTTGTTCTTGGGCTCATTCCACGTCTCATTCCTTAGAGGGGCGGGGGGTGGTTCCCCGAAATCCATTTATGTATCTGTATTCCAGGTGGTTAGGGGTGGCTTTGTGATGGGGGGACCCGGTCCCCTTGTCTGGCTTCAATTGGAAAGAACAAACCAGCCTCAATTTTAGTTGAAACTCCCGCTTGGACAAAGCTAACAGGTGAAGAGGAGGCCTAAGCGCCTAAGCAATGCAATTCTTAGAAGAACCGATTCTTTGGGGGCAAACCCCCGAACAAAAAGCAACCAAATGAACAGGAGGCCCCACCAAAACAAGGCGTACAGGGAGTGTTGGATTCCGTGCTGATTTGCAGGGGTGCAGGGGGGTAAAAAAAAAAGCTTAACTGCCATTTGCCCTTAGTTGAGTTTCTCAAAAGTGGCAAAGGTTGTGTTTGCCATGGTCAAAACTCCTTGGGGTCATGGTCATGGTTTCCCGATTGGTTCTAATTTGGGGCCCTTGCTGGACATCATCAACATGGACATTCATGTCCAGGGTGTTCCCCAATCAAACCTCATCGCCATATTGTGCCATGGTCAACATTTGGTTCTTCTGGTTTGTGGCAGTTTCCTTAAAAGGCTTGTAGTAGTCCAAAGGTCCTAAGATGCACGCTACAATGTTGTTCCCAGCACGATAACAGTTGATTCCTTGAAAACTCAAGACAAGCCCCTGACTACCAAAACTTGTTTATCAAACAGTGTGCTTCTTGAGGGGAGGGTTGCTTCCAGACTAGGTTGCCATTGTACGATTGCCTTGCACGGTGCATAATTGTCAGCTTCTCACCGGGAAACATGTGAAGAATTGGCTTTTGGCTTTGGTGAAGGTTCACCAGGACCCCCTCCCACTGAACTGGTTTTGAGGATGGGGAGTCTGAGACATCAAGTCAAGACAGTTGCTCCTTCAGAGGGTTGGTAAACCAGATCCCTGGAGTGAAACACAAAAAGTGACACATGGTTTACCGGCCATGACCATTTCACAGCAAACGTGTAGGTGCAAAGGACCCCTTTCCCAGAGCAAAGTAGTCCTAGGACTCCAATGGGGATGTCTCAAAGTAGGAATCGGACTCCTTTCCGTATGGTGTTAAAGGCACACCACAAGGGGCTTCCACCTACCTGGAGGAATTGGTCCCCGAATTTTAAGAGAACCCCCCCCAAAAAAAAACATAACATGCCCCTTCCACCCCCCCCCAAAAAAAAAACAGAAGAATAAACAAACAAACACAACATGAAACCCCCACGGCCCGCGCTGCGCCGCGCCCACTTCGCCTCTCCACGACCGCCGCTGCCGGGGTCGCCCCAGGCCACCGCGCGGCCGTCCAGATCGAGCGCCGCGAAGGCGCCGGCAGAGGACTGCAGCGCTCGCACCCGGTGAAGCGGCTGCACCGCCTGATGCTGACCCAGGAGGAATAAACCTGGGGGGGTGTTCCCATTATTAGGGTAACCCAGGTTAACCCAGGTTATGTTAACCCGGTTTTGTTAACCCGGTTTTGTTAACCCAGGTTAACCCAGGTTATCTTAACCCAGGTTAACCCAAATTATGTAGTCCCATTAGAAAAGTCCCAGCGATTCGCCAATTGGTCTCAAAAGGGTTGTCCTTTTGGCGTTCTCTCTAAAAAAACACCCCAAAAGGGTACCCTCAAAAAGAGACACACTCTAGCCAACGGCTAATGTTGACCCAGGATGAATAAACCCGTCCCAGTAGGCGGGTGACCCCCCAATCAAAATCAACAAGGGGTTTATTAATCCGGGGATAGCATTAAAAGTTAAACGAGCGACGAAAAGACTCACTTGAGTCAAAATAAAAACCCGTGAGGTTGACCCCATATTAATTAACCTGGCCGGTTTTATTAATTGGGGAGATCTCTGGGTTTAGTGGGGATTTATCGCTGTTGAAGGGAAAACTTGCTTCTTGGGTGTTTCATGGGTGGTGGCTCATTTGCCCTCAAGAGCCAGGGGGTCCTTTACCCCCAAACCACCAAGCCAAATCACCAAATGAGTCAAAATGTAAAGAAATCAAAGGTGGCGAAGGCACCCATTTATCGTTGGGATTCTTCCCTGCGAACCTTCACCTACCCAGGTTTTGATTCTGGCTCGAGTGGATCGGCGCAGAAAAGCTCGAACTTGTGCATGTCTGTGCCACTCAAAACAGCGGGCAAACAAAAAAAGAACGTTGCCACAAACCCCACCAGGCCAAAGGGAAACGGAAGTCTTCCCTACAAACTTCGCAACGCAAAAGACGACGGCCCTTCTTCGTTTGGGCCCCTGAGCCATGCATTTCAACCGAGCGTCGGAGCTGTCCCCGCCGCAGCGGGGATCTCCCCAGGTGGTGACAGCGCCATCGGCAGAGAGCGCAGCAAAGGCGGCGTCCGAGCATTGGATGGCCTGTACGTCCAGGCGCCTGCGCTGGGAAGGCCCCGTGACTAAGTTTCAAGTCCCTGAACTCAGGAAGTGGCATTCGAATGGGACATCTTCACCGAAAAACAAAAAGCCATGAGTGAAGTGAGTGGCTAATTATAGTTTTATAGCTTTGCGTGTGCGCGCTAAAACAAACTTAATGGCTTTCTCTGTATGTATATATACATATATATAGCAATGATATGTGTGTAAGCTTGATCATCGACCTGGTAAGCACGGGCGGGTCTTGTAACCCAGTTCCGCTAGCCAATCCCATTTTGGTATTTCGGTTGTGTATGCCGGCCGCTGTGGAAACCACGAACACCTGGGTAGGTCACAAAACAAATGCAAAAACGGGGAACACCCAGTTCTGAACGACAGAAACCATAGTGCCCCGGATTGGGGGCACTTGTTGCAAACCAACTGATCCCCATTCAAATGGACCCCCTGATTAAGTGAACAAAAACACCAATGCCTGGTCAACCTTGGTTTTTGGGGCAAGCCGCAGAACCCGGGTTCACCATACGTGATTAGGCACCTGTGCGCCCAACTTGGCGAACAAATGATGAGGCCAAACTGGACCTGAAAGGGTCCGAGCCTCAAATTTGGACCCTTTCCCACCTTTCCCCGAGTCGGGTCCGAGAAAAAGCATCCGCTTGTCTGGGGAAGTGTCTTACACTCGAAACCGGGATTTATAAACAAGGAAAAGTATGGCGCCCCTGAGATGTGTTTTTCGGCCACTTGGTGCAACGCACAACCAAATGGTTCAAGTTGTGAACCTGGCTTCCTCAGTCCCTAAGCAGGGTGAATATATCTCACGCGATCAACAAACAAACATGGACAGGAGTCTCCTTTTGTTATTTGGGGGCAGCTTCCAAACCTTGAGAATTGGCATCTCCTCTAGGGGCAACTAATCCTGGTTTCGGTGCTCTTGCGACCAGGGCGAGTTTATCAAAACCTTGAGGGATGTTCAACATGTGTTGGGGACCTTTTCAAGCTTGTACTCTCCCCACTAAAAGTTTCTATAGATATTAAAGGAATCGCAAAAAGGTCAGAAACAAGGCCCGGGTCATTGTTGCACAACCGTTACGATGCCAGGAAGGCTCGCCTTTGCTCCGTTACGTACGGTATCAACCTGCAAACCCTGAATTGTGGAATGCGTGAAATATACGGACCCTGAATGGCAACTGCTTTTGTTCAGGTTGACATATTGACGGATTGAATACTGAAGTTGGGTATACATATATACATATATACATATACATATGTATATATACATATTACGTCTAGGGAACCCTTGGAGTTTGTCACCAACCTCTTTTGAGGTCTGGGAAGACGTCAAAGGCTTGGCTTGGAACACTGCAACGCACCCCCAAGCAACACCGCCACCATGACAGATACAACCTCCTTGTGTTTAAAAGAGTGCCTGGACTAAAAAACATCACGATTTCAACGCATGTACAAGTTATGGACCCCTCCAACAGCTACTTAGTGGGGAAACAGTGATTTACCAATAATTCAAACATGAAGGTCGCGCCACATACCTAAGTAGTTTGCACCACCCAATCTGTGAATCGACAGCTTCCCCTAAAAGAGGCAGTATTACCAAAGAACCACAAAGCAGCCAAGTATTGCCAAGGGCCAAGCAGTAATCCAAGTATTTCCCGAGCATTACCCTAGTAGCACCCAAACATTTCTCAGTTGCCCCCAGGGACCTGGAAGGTGACTTAGCCCTGACACAGGTCAAATAAATGTTTAAAGGTCGATTCGCTTTAAACAAGTGAGACCCAAGCAACCGGGGCCGGGAGCAACGCCGAATCGCCTCGCGTCCCGGATGAAGCCCCAGGTCACCACGTTCGCCTCGCGGTTCGGGGAAGCGCTCGGTATAGTGGGCAGGAGGTCCATAGGTACGTGTGTGTGTGTGTGCGCGCTTGTGGGTCGGTGTTTGATGGTGTTTGTGTATCGATGATTGTGTTTGTGAAGAAGCTGTGTGTCGGGGGGCGAAGACACCTCACTTGGAATAGGAGCACCATATCCAGCAAGTACAGCACCTAACCTTCAGCGAACATTCGATGCAGCGATGCATCTGGAACTAAAGCGAAGCACACAAATATCCCAAAAAGAACAGCCGAGAGTAAATAGCCCTCTCTGCCTGAGGGATCAAGGAACCCTATGACCACTTTGTCACATTTCCTGGGTCTCTTCCCATGTAGGAACTGAACGGCCGTGCACAACTTTGAAGGATACATGTATATCCCTATTTCCGAGAAAGCAGGTCTCTTGTCCATGAGCCTTGCCCCGTGTCAACGGCACAAGAAAAAAACAGTCCCCAGAATCCTACATTGCGCCCTTAGCTTGGCAATCTTTTTGTGGGCCATGGTCATGTTGCACCGGCTCATAAGTCGTGGGGGTATCAGAACAAAATGGTTTCAAGGGCTGTGCATTGAGTCTGGGCACCCAAAACCTATTCATGTTCGATTCAACAAAGATGGGTGTAGAGATTTACACAAGGTTGTAGCCTAGCGTTTAGGCTTTGCTAGTTTGAGCACAGCTTCATGGTGGGCTTTCCTGTGAAAGGATGACAATGCACCTTGTTTGTTTGCAGTTCCCCCTGCCGCCCTTGTGCTCACCAACAAAAAAGGCCTCCTTATGGGAAACGCCGACACGCGCTCAGCCCTTCAACTCTGCCCTTTGACCACCCTTTTACCGCAAGGGACTCGCCAACAGAGATGGATGGTGCCCGGACCTGTTGAGACTTTTGTAAACCTCGGCTCACAAAACAACGGCCACAAATCCTTCAAAGGCCTTTTGTAATTCTTCTAGTTTTTTTTGAAAGCCCTAAAAGCTCAGTTTCACCCCCCCCTTATGCAAACGTCCCCCACCTTCGCCCGTCCGTCCTCCGCGCACTCCGCGCATTCCGGCGTTTCGCTACGCACATGCCTTCGGCAGGCCATCGCCTTGCGGGCACGAGCAAATGAAGTCTATTTGGGTGTGACTCAAAATCTAGGTCCTCCAGTAGAGAGGTTAGAATAAGGGTACCCTTTTTTTTCTGTAGTCTATTTTAGTAGTGGAACCCTCGTCCAAAAAAATGGTAAAAGGGCACTACTGGGTGACCTAGAAATTTAAGAGCTAGGGTTACGCAGGGTTTGGTCTTTGTTTCCATTTACCTAGGGACATCTTTTTGAGCCACAGCCATATGACCGCCTCTGGGTCAAAAAAAGGTACTGGTAAATGGAACTTGTGGCGACTTAATGTTGACCCAGATGGGTGTGATTCTGAATAGGGGACCCTTTGATTTCATGAAAACCATTCGGGAGCGGATTCATGTTGTTCAGGTGGCTCCCGGTTACATTCCCGTTACATTCATGATCAGGTATGGGGTTGTAGGAGGTAAACATCCCCATTCACAATCAACCACTACTCAATGTGCAGTTTCGGCCACAAATCCAAAACCCGAATAAGGGATTCAAGGATCTGCGTGTAACGGACGTGAAGATCGTGCTCAAAAGAAGATAGTATAGACTTACTGCTGTTGTACCGCATAATGCTGTAGTCACTTGGCTATGAATCTTAATGGGGAAGCCCCCCCCCCTCTCCCGGAGATGGTTGGTGGACATAAATCCCCGTGTTGATGTCAAAAAGTACGCACTTCAACCTTAAAAAGAGAATTGTTTGTTCCATTGCTCCAAGAGGAACCCAAATGCCATGTTTTTTGTTCAAACATTTGGGGCCTCTTACCCAACCCCCCCCCCCCCCCGCCCAGCCCCAGTGGTCATAAAAAGTGGTAGATGTGTCTAAAGCAAGAAATCAAGAACATTCGAAGATGTTTCTTAGGTAGATGTGTTTCTGATGAACATGTGTAAAGAAACAACTCAAGACAATTCATCCATGCTTCTTCGCATGCCTTTCAAGGAACGCCCCTGCCAGACGAAAAAACACGAGAAACTCAACCTACGGGGGCCGGTGCCGGGCCCTCGGCCCCTTGGCCGCTCGGCGCTCGCGTTTGCCGTGCCTTGCACCGCGGGTGCGAGGCTACGAAGGTCTGCTGCACCGCGGCAGTTAGCACGTCCCCGTCCGCCACCTCGGCCTCCTGGAGCCGAGGTGTCCCAAAGCAGACGTGGCTTCCGCCTTTAGGCCTTCCGAATGACTCGGTTGCCCCGGAGAAACGGAGAAATCGAACAAGTGCCCTGGATCGCAGCTCGTGCCGGCTTTTTCTTCTTTTTTTCCAGAGACGCTGCCCAAAAAACCAGGCACTGTGGCTGGGAAAACCCTCTGGCGATGGTGCTCATCTTTTGGGGCCGTGATTCTGAACCGACATGGGGGAAAGCTAAAAACAAACCCCCGACCCTCAACGAAAAGCCGAACACAGACATGATAAACATGCTTGTACAAGGCCTAGGTCGCATATTCGTGCAGCTACGAAAAACAAATGCAGCAAACCATTGAAATGGCAGGGAAAGCTGACGGGTGAGTCCCTGGCGACCAAGCGTGTCCAGAGAGAAGTTTAGGAGCAGAAAAGCAAAAGAAACGCTACCTGAATACCTGCCTGGTATTCACAAGAGGAAGAACCGATTGAGCTCAAAGACTTCACTGGCCCGAACCAAACCCGCGAACGGATTGGGAAATCGGGGCTGAGGCTTGCAGCGCTTAAAGGGTCTGAGCCGGCAACTTTTGCTTGCCGGTGTTGAAACAAGAACGCCTATTTTAAGATGTGCATGGTGTTGACAATAGCGATTTGACTCCCGGCCAGTGCTTGTTTCAAACACCCGTTGTTGTTTTTTTGGTAGTGAAAGGCTCCCACGCAAACCTCCCCTTTCTGAGTCGCATCTCCCGAATTAGGTTTGAACCTAGGTGGATTCCCCCCCCCCGAAATCCCGCGAATAATGCAAAGAAGTCAGACTCAAATCCAGTAGAATCCATCAAACTGTAATCCAAACCGAAACCGGGAAGGGCACCAATTTGGGCATACCATTCATTGGACAAAGAAGAAAGTAATATGTAACTATAAAAGTAAGGAAGATGGATAAGCCATCTAATGGAAAACCAAAAGCCACGCTGAAACACGTCACACCTAACAGAGACTTCCACTGGGGTCGGAAGCTTAACTTGCGATCGGCACCAAATCGGCAGGGAATGACAAATGGCTCATGACCCAAGAAAACCCATCCAACCGGTGGATTGCTTTATGACCCCAAAACGGTTCACCCTAGCGATTTCACAAGAAAATAATTCGGTCCTATGCCCTAGGGTTAAAAAAGGCCCAAGGGTACCCAACTTGGATGATGTCAATCCACGAAGAACAATGGTGCAAAGGCAACCCCATTGCAATGGCGCTTTGAACCCAACATTATCTCCCCTGTAGAAAGGGTTGTAGATCTAAACCCTACACAATGTTTATGAGGACTCCTTTGGCGCAAGGCAAGGAGACAAAGACTAGCCAGCTAGCCAAGGTTGGGGACGCATCGATCGCAAGCTTCCATTTGCTCAAGCCCCCTGGCAAAAATAAATAAAAGCATCTAGTGGTGATAGAATTCCTTTAAAACCAACCGGGGAAAAAAACAATCTTAAGCCAATGTTTGCAAGTCAAGGACCTCCCAGACCCTCCCCAAACCTCCGCGTGGCGCCTGAAGCGTGGCCTCCTCCGCCAGGAAGGTTTCGCCCTTCAGCAGCCGCGACAGCGGGAGCTGCAGCTGGGCCTCGCGTACTTGGGTCAAAGGGAAACCAAGAGGAACTTGGGAGAAGCGGAATTTAAGTTTTGAAGGGACCTTGAAGCAAACAAAAAAACAAAAATAATGCCATGAAAAGTGGGGAACAGAAAAAAGGGGAACTTACGATTTACAGGAAACCTGAAAAGCAAAAGAAGCCATTTTAGTGAAGTCCGGCAAAAATGCTGAGAACCCAAACGGCGATGTGCCCATTTTCACTCACCTGGTTCTAATGGGCTCCCTCGGATGCGATTGGTAACACCATGGGTTCCAAGATTCAGAGCGGACCCCAAATTCGTGCTCCAAACAGTGGCAAATTTGAAGGAGTCCTGCTGTCGTCGCAAATCATCAACCATCTTGGATGGTGTTCCAACCACGAAAATTTATATTAGCTTTGACATGATTTCCCACAGGAAGGGGTTCCTGCGAGCGAGGGAACCAATCATTCAATGACGAAACAATCTCGATTTTCCCGAAAAGGGCTCTTCCTTAAAAACAAATAAGGATACCCCAAAGGACATGGAAGAATTGGTGAGCTCCCTGGTGTTGTTCTTGAAACCTTACGCAGAATTCCCCAGCATGTCCCGAACACCGAACTCTGCAAAAAACAAAATGGGATACTTTGACCGCACCTCATATCGGCTCTAGACGGAACATGAGACGGTACCTTCCTGAGGGCAGCTAAAAGATCGTGTCCTTCCTTGTGCTCAGAAGGACATAAGCCCCGGAACCCTCCGGAACTCTCCTTAAAAGCAGCTCCAAACCAGAAGACCTCCCAAGGCTTCCCCGCGCCTCAGCAGCCCGCCGCACCTCCCGCACAGTGGTCTTCGGGGAAAGGTCCGAGACATCCGCCGTACGACCAGACAGCACCGCCACGTGCAGGGTGCATCGCTCCATAGCCACGGGCTGCCACTGGAAAAGGCACAGGTCTTCTGAGCCGTGTTTGTTGGCGTGCTTGCATTTTTTAGTTGTCATTGTGTATTCTTATGCTTGGTCCGCCTTTGTTTGGTTTCCAGTTGTTCAGCCTTGATCTGGCCCAAGCAACAGTTGCTTGAATTGATTGTTGACCGTCGTTTCCTTTGCTTATACTAAGTGTTGTCCATCTTGGCCTGCTCTGGGATATACTTGGTATCCCAGCCATGCTTGCCCTTTGACCATAGCTTCCTCAGCCACGACGGCTTCGACAGCACATGCGGCACAAACAAGCAAGAGCTTAAGTTTTAGCAGCTTTGGCAGTTTCTTTCGTGGCTGGATCATGCAAACACATAGAGTGGTGCTGGTGGGCAACTCAACAATAAACTCAACTCATCGTTGACTACAAACAAGTGCTCACTAGCTCACTGGTACATGACTGCCACAATTAGCTGGACCCGTTGGGACCAGTTCAAAGCAAACTGATCCATGAAGCCAACCGTTTCAAGGTCACATGAATGTTCAATAATTCCAAAACCAACGAACTCGAAACCTGGCAAACTCCGAAAGCTGAATAAAACCAAACCCCGAAAACGCTGCCTCAAAGTCCACAACCCCACCCATTCGCTCGCATTCACTGTGCGAGAAAACGGCGCCTTGAGGCGGAGGGCGAGGCTCCAAAGGCGCTGGCGAAGACGCCAGGCCAAGGCCCAGCTGGTCAAACACAGCCTCGCCCGTTCGTTACGCCCAACGCGGTCGCCACGCAAACACGGGCGCAGGCGAAAGGAGAAGCGAGGCTCCAGCAGGGGTTCGGCCCCCAAATGTTTGGCCCTCGCATCATCCAATCTTGAAACAGAAAACCTGGGAAAACTCGATTGGCACGTGTTTCCCCCGTCATGGGTTTCTGTCAGGAAAAAGGAGCAGGAATCTCTATAATGTCCTTTTACCTGGAGATTCAAACGTCAAGGAATTCCTAGTCATTCTCGGCATTGACCCTATTTTGGACGCAAACGCCCGCAAATTGCCGCAAACGCCTAGAAACAGGAAACGCCCGCAAATTGCCGCAAAACGCCCGCAAAAAAGGGGCAAACACCCGCAAAAAAGCGCAAAAAAACGCAAAACGCCTAAAACGCCTAAAACGCCTTGAGAACCAGAACGCCTAGGAATTCCTCGGCATTGGAATCTCCAGGTACATTATATCATAAGTTTGAAGAACCGCCTTTTGTGAAGAAGCTGTGGATTGGCACAAGTTTGGCATACCCGCAAATCGAGACCCGACTCGCTGCTTTTGCACGCATGTGTCCACTTATCCCATGGTCTTGACAGATCAACCCTGCTGTTGGTCCTCTGGAAGGTCAATAGGTTGGACAAATCGGGAACACATCCCATCCCTTCTCTCAGGGAGTTTACGCCTTACCGAAACACAGAAGGCGAAGAAGTTAGAGTTGCAAAACCCATGAACACAGACTATGACGTCGCATTAAAAACCGATCGAATCATGTACTCCGAGTCATGACCCTTTGTGCAAGAGATGAAAAGGTCTATTCGCCTTGGGCAACTATGTGGCTGTGGCTCAAAAATAGGTACCCAAAATGGAACCCTGGTAGAAGGAAACATGGACTAAAACCTCGGTCCCCTGGTGGTTTAATTTTGACCCACAGCCATGTGTGGGTGGTCAACCATGGTTGGCTTAGGTTTAGTTTTGGGGTGGCTTTGGTTTGGGGGTTGGGGTTTAGGTTAAGGTTTGCTTAGTTGGGATGGGCTTAGGGTGAGTTTAGTGCTGGTTTAGGGTAGGCTGTGGTGGCTTTTCACTGGGTTGGTGAAACTCACCCTGCAACAAGTGATTCTACTTCTTGCTTTTAGTAGCGAAACCACCATGTTTGGGATCCTCTTGTTGACCCTCTGTTTCCTTAACCCTTCCTTTTTTGGACCCTCAAAGCCTATGTTGGAACCCTCTACAGGAATCGTGCTTTCTCTAAGCCTCAGAAATCCTTTCTCTTCAACCCCTCACCTTTGTTTTGGTTCACCCTCCACCTTGCATTTTGCATGACCGACCTTTCTTCTCTCACCCGCGATTGACTCAAAACGCCCCTTTTTCTGTTGGTTGATTGTAAAGACGAGCCCCATATGAATAACAAATCAGGGCAAAGGCTCAACTCAGATGCCCAGTGGCCATGGGGAAAAAAGCGTACTTTGTTTGATGGTCGACTTTTTCAAGGAATCGAAAACCTTACCCCAAAAACAACACGAAAAACAGAAAAGAGACGGCAAAACAGCAAAAAGGAAAAAAAGGAAGCAACAAAGGAAGCCACCCACTGAACCACAGAGTCAAGAGGCCCCCCCCCCTCGCCCCCACCCCCCCCCGGGTCAACCGCGCGCCCGCTGTAGGTGGCCGCCAGCAGCGCGAGGCGCTGCAGCAGCTGGCGGGGGGCCAAGGGCGGCAGCGCGTCGCTGGTCACCGCGATGAGGAAGGTCTTGCCTCAGGGAGGGGGGGGGTAAATCCACCCAGATAGGGGGGGGAAGGGGAAGGGGGGGAAGGGGGATGGATGGTTTCTTGCCTCAGGGACCCGCCCCGAAGCACGCCTGCAGGCTGGGACCTCCCGCCCTAAAGCCATAGGAAACCAGCAAGGTCCCACAGGTCCGATGGGAAAAACCGGGGCTGGGAACTCCCGCCAGGAAGACATGGGAAATCATGGGATGGGTGTTTTGGGGCTGCTGAGAACCAGCAAGTTAAGGGGTCCGGATTGGGGGTCCCACAGTTCCGTTCATATGTCCAGTATTCATTCGCCAGGTGGTTGGGGGGTAGTTTCCCATTTACCACAAGAAGGGTTTGCTGTCAAAGGACCCTTGTTCGGACACATGGATTTGTCTCAATGGACTACCGCTTCCCCCGAAAATGGGAGGTGTGCTTCTGGTTTCCCTTTCTACCACTCCCTTGTGGGGGGGGAGGGGGGGTGAACCTTAACAAACACAGCCCAAAACATCTTAAAACCCAGGGGAAACAGATCTGACTGTCAAAGAACAACTATGGTTTTAAAGGAATGGCAGGTTTCCCTTTCAAACACTCCCAAAAACTTATGCAGGCTGAACTGCAGCTCTTAGGTTCCCCAATTAGTTTCATGCATCTAGTTTTCCCTGTGAAAATTAAAACCTAGCATACCTATTTAGTATCCCTTACAGGGTTCCCCAAACTAACGATTTTCGAAAATGAAACCATAAATGGAATTCCAGGGGGTATCCTTCCTGCCCCAAATCCAGCTTTAGGCGGTACCTTCCAACCATTATGTCATCCTTCAGTTCAGGAAACCATCTTAAAAACCCTAGGGGATCCAGAAATGAGTTTCGAAAATAACGATGGTTGGAAACAATGGGAAAACAACGGGGTGTTATGAGCTTCGGTTGGGTGGGTATAAATGGCTCATACATGGGCTAAATCTGGTCTTGCCTCACTTGGGGTCCTTCTCATAATAGGATTTGGACCCTACCACTTGGTGGTTTCCTTGCCCGCCCAAAAAAAGAGAGAACCAATCCTATGGTGTTTTACTAGGCTGTTGTGCGTGGTGGTGGTTGCAACTGAGGAAAGTCTTGCCTCACTTCTGGGTTGCTCGTCCCCTTCGAGCAAAGGTCGAACCTTCTGTAGATTTAATGGAAAGGTCTTCCCTCACGCTCGCCTAACCGAAGCTGGGGTCCCATTTGTGAACGGTGGCGTGTGTTCCTGCTGGCTTTGGCTTGGTGGTAAATGGGGTTGGCACCTCACATGCGATGGACAAGGTATTTGGAAGCTAATCGTGTCTACTAATGGGTTTACATACACAGGGATATGAAGAAGTAACCATCAGTTTACATGGAAAGCCTTGCCGGGCCGCAGAGCACTGCACAAAGTGCACGTATTTCGCCTTGCTTTTTGTAAAACGTTAGCGTGGCTTGGCCAAAAGAAGAACTAGGTTCAAGTCTGAGCTAGTCCTATGCCAAGAGGCAGAAGGGTTGGTTCATGGGGAGGGTCCCTGAATTAGGGGCACCCTCCATGTGGACGCTTGGGTTTGACTGTGCAACCACATTATTTTACGGCATTCTTGCTTGTAGGGCTCGGTACTCTGAAAAAAAAGAGAACATCCTCTAGATGCTCAAGGCTCGGTTCCCCCCCCCACCCATTGAAGTGACAGCATCAACATGACCCTTGAAATGGCGGCTTAACGGGCAACAACCCCCAAACGGGCAACAACGCCCAAAGTAGTTTTCAGCACTCTAAGAGTCCAAGTAGTTACATGGCCATGGGTCAAAATCCCGTACCCCCAGTGAACATCCCAATCCCCACTAAAATAGACTAACATGGGTGGTGCACCTACCCAAAATGGTACATTGGTTTTGACCCACACCCGCAACTACCTCAGGGCTGCATCCTGACTGCCTGCTGCCCCGAGCGGCTCAAGTTCTCCATGCGGCCCCTCAGCGCCCGTCGACGGGTGCGCGGCGCGATCTCGCTCATCATGTTGTCACCTTGCGCAAACGACGGCTCCTGGGACCTACTGTGGATGGACGAAATCCGTTTCGCACCAAATGGAAACCATGGGAAACCATTGTTTGTTGGTATTTGCAGGGGAACCATCATTCAGGTGTTTCTCAGGTGGTGCAGGTTTTCGTCCATCCACGTTACGGTTGACACCGGCTTTGCCAGCAAGAAAGTTGCCTGGACATGGGGCCGCTTTGTCGGCCTGAGTCAGCAAGCAAATGTCTGAGCTATTGCGAAAACGCTGAACTACGAGCTATGGCAAGCGCACAAGGGGGGAGGGGGATCGGTGGGTGGCAACTCGGTGGCAACTCTGTTCCAAGGGCAGGAGACCAACGTCCAGACCTTCCGAAGCCCAAAACGCGTATGGGACCTGAGAAGATACCTCTAAAATCCCAAGCCACGAGGACACAAGTTGGGTGTCAGCCGTGAGGTTCTGTTTTGAGCTGAAAGAGTTGACGTCGAGGAGAGAGCCGAGGGTGGTGAAGCTCTGATTGAGGGCATTGTCTCATGCTGGGGTTTCTGAGCGCAAAGGACTCCTGAGCCCACTGGCTCAACGCAGACTCGTTCCCAAGGTGGAGCAGGCTGAGGGGTTGCACTGGACATTGGGAAGCTACTTGGCCACGTGCTTTCCTTGCGGTTGCTGCAGGTTGATGAGGGCTACACAAGAATGGCCAAGCCCACTACCCAAATAGACTTGTTGGACCAAACTGTCAAAGTTTGATTGGCCGAATCGCAAGTCTTCATCAAAAAGCCGGCCCACTACGAATTCAGCAGGTGTGGTACCTCAATAAATCAGGTTCCCCCCCTGGTAGCCATACCTCACCCGGGGCCTGAGAGAACGTAAGGATGCCGCGCGGAGACCAGGTTGCTCCAGGTGTTGTGCTCTGCCCATTGAGTTGACTTGAAGTTGAAGAGCGCCCTCGGCGGGGCTCGCTGAATTTCTTCAACGTTTTTGGCCGGTTTTGGTGGGAAGGAGCAGAAACACTTTCCTCTCCCAAACTACCAGGGAAGCTCCCAGGGCTGCTTTGGAACACTTGGTTCCATTTACAGAGTCTGAGGGAGTGTAGAAGGTCTTAAAGGACCGGCAAAAAGTTGAAGCTGCTTCGGGAGTGATCCAAAAAGGGGATGGAGGAACCCTTGGGTGACGCGGTGACCCGTCACACTTTTTGTTTGGCCCATTTGGCCGGTTTTGGATCGAGGAGCCGAGACACCCAGAGGAAAATGTGGATGTATATTAGCCCCTGATGTGTGTGGATGTATTATACACTAGTCGCTATACAATTTGCGCCCGACCTTGACATGTTGGTCTGAATATCAGCCGCCCCAGATTTAAGCAAACTAAGATGTGTTGTGCCTTACATAGACCTCGCCTGATGGATGCGGAAAAAGGTCACCACCAGGGAAATCTCTTCCGAATCATTTGTTGTTGATCGAACCGTTGTTGAGAATGTGTCATGTTTTTTTTCGATCCCGTAGTGGACAGCGGTGCACCAGTGTAGGTGGTAACACCTACGCTTCCACACTACAAGTGCTGTCCAAGGAACAGCACGCCAAACAAAACATCTTTGACTCAGAACCTCACAACCATTTGCTGGGTTGCTCCTTGGCACCTTGGGAGTCTGCCCAGGATCTGCAGATTGTGCTCCACGGCCAAAGGTCAACGATTCTCGTGAGATCCGCTTCGCTTTCGCCAGGCGGCTGGAAGAACTTCGGCCAGCGATCTTGCGCCTTGATGATGAGACAGCAGAACGCCTCAGACCGCACTCGGGACCCGAACCGGAATGGTTTGGTTGCCGGACATCAGAACAGTCGGGAACTGTGTGTGAGGGCCTTCTGCACGAAAGGAATGGTGGCAGTATCATGTCGGCTTTTGAGATCCATGTAGAGAAACGCATGGATCAACTGAGCCAGCAAGAGAGCTTGCAACGAAACGGCACTTGAACAATGGGCAGAAACAGCGGTAGCAAGCATTGCTCTGCATGGACTACCCAGAATCCGCAAGTGCAGCACCGAGATAGATCTATGAGTCTAGCAGTCTATGTATGCGATATGGAAACAACACTTCCTGCCGTTCTTCTGCAGGCACCACAGGAAAACTATTGCGAACATGTGCTCAACGTTTGGTGACCAACTCACAAAGCAACGACATCGCTGATGATCTCAGGGTGTTGGCAAGACAACCTGGAATGGCCCCAGGTGCTCAAGCTATATCACAGACAGTATTTGGATTGGGTCATGCCCCGGTGCGGGTAATCTCGGGGTGTACTGCAACAAACCTTGGACATACATGTCAGGCATGCTGCAAGGCCGACAGTATCAACAGTTGGCGGGGATGACTTTCGCTGCAGGGAAGCCCGCTCACTTCAGGCAATCATATGCAAACGTCGGCAAAGGCTCAATTGGAATGCCTGACACGAAAAGAAACTGCACACGTCACTAAATATGCCTAAATGAGAAAGTCTATCCGCTGAAACACAAGCATCAAGTCCACCAAACGAAAGCACTGCCTACATGGGTCAGCGCGTCACCCTGTCAGGGAGCCCTGTTAGTAAGCTTCTTTGCAGGTGGTGTTTCGACAGCCAGTCATGCAGTGGCAGGGCTTGTCAAGACACGGAGGACCTTTCTGGGCAATCGGGGGCCCCCGACACGCCACAAGTAACAGGGCCCGAAGAAAGGTGCAAAGTCATGAGTCATGACAACTTCCCTTGAACAAGCAGGGGAAAACAAACACATATCACCATAAGGAAACGGACTGGGCACAAAAACATGGACTCTGCAACACACCGCCCACCTTTTCCGCAATATGCACGCCTAGGCACCACAATGCCATGCGTAACTGAGCCAGGCTCAACGATGTACTTGATCTCACCATCCTTCATGACAGTAGGCTTGCGTTCCCTCCCGCAACTGGCGTCTATGGCAAAAGCAAGGGACTGCATGCCACAATTCGCAAGTTGGTTTTCTTCGTAAGACGTACAAAAGAGCATCAGGGCAACAGGGTTTCTAAGACCAGCTGGCCTGAACAAATCGAGTGGCAGGCGGTTGAATACCTACCAAAGTTGCAGTGCATACCTGTTTTCACACCCTGTACAAAGTATGTAAGCCCAAAAGGGTGGGTCCATTCACCAAAGGGTCACAGTACTTCTTGTCTGGGGCTGGGCAAATGATAAAGCTTCCCCCTACTTGGTGGTTTGGTTTGGTCGCTTGGATGTTCAGGGGTAGCTTCCGATTTAACCTCAGGTTCAAACTACGCATTGAGGGGAACCTGACCAACCCGAGCCAAAAAACACAATGTAACACATGAAAGCTCCTCCCAGCCCTAACCAAAAATCATGAACCACTTTCTCAGAAACCCACAAAGGCGCCACTTGTCATGATAATAGAACAATGTAGTCAGGCCCTTACCCAGACCTCCGGTAAGGGAAAAAGGCCACCACAACTTTGACCCGGCCGAACCTTCTTCTAAAGGCAAAAATGCAACAGGACACGCCACACTGCAGGGGGGTGTCCCCTTTTTAGTGGGGATTCAGACCACTTTTGGAGGGAACACCTCAAAAGGACGCGGGTTCTGCTCTGAGCTGTCCTCAGATTCCCCTGCTAAAAGTTTAACTGTTAGAGGGTCAAATACGAAAACCCAACCACGAAACCAAGCAAAAGATCTAAAACGCCACGGAACACCATGGCCTTCGTTGGAGCCACCAAATATTTATCTAGGGGTAACTTTTTCCAGGGATCCTTTCTAGAAAACCTCCAAAGACCCTGGGGAAATCCCTGGTTTTTGACAAGAACGATGGCTGAAAGACTGGAAAAGGAATCAACCCCTAGAACTTAGACCCGTGGATCTCATGCCAACCGCGCCACCCACGGCCCATCCCAGCCATCCGCTTGCAGCGACCTCGTCGGTGACCTCCACAAGGCCCAGCAGGAATGGCAAGCTGCAGCCCCGCAGCGGGGAGCAAATGGCCGTCACCGACACCACCCAGTCCGGGCCTACCGGGTCGTGACTCGCGCGCTCGGTGTCTTTTTCCTTCTTTCCAGAAACAGCCACCAGGTGTAGATATATAATTCAACGATGTGAACAGTATATACATGTATATATATATATATAGAGCGAGAGAGAGAGAGAGTCACATGCATTGAAAATGATTTAAGTTTCAGATTTGGATACACATACAAGTATGACCATGTGTGTGTACATCAAGCACGTATTGCTTCTCAATCCTTAAAGTGCATAAGCCAAGGCTTTGCTCTGATGTACCACCTTCAATGCATGTGGCTACTGCCAGATTGGTGTCGTGGTCAAACCTCCGAACATCTGGACCGTGGCCATGGCCATAGCGCCGAATGGTCATGGCCCAATGGCGCTTCCTTCGCTCAATGCTTTCTTGGGGCCTTCACGGCCTTAAACGCGAACACGATCGCAACACGGCGCTTTCGATGCAGCACTGAGATTTAATTCCGAGGGAAGAGTTCTCATTCACGCAAGAACCGGTGTAGCCACCAAGCCACCGTGAAATTCTTGAATTATGCCCAGAACACCCGCGAAGACATTGCTAACTGCTGGTAACCTTGGCCACTTGGCCGCATTGCTCCAAGGCAACTCCCACTTCCACGTCTGACGGCAGTGAACACAGCCAACCCACCCCTTCCTGTGCCAAGACCCCAGTGATCCTCCGCGATCATGTTGTACAGAGCTACCTATCAGAGCGTTTACAGGGTTGCTCACAACAAGGGTGTCTGGGAGCAAAGTTTCTGCAACTGAAATATAAGGAGACAAGGGCCATTGTCCCCGATGATGCCATGAAGTCATGTTCACCAGTCATGATCCGACTAAAACCAATGGAAAACACCAGAGTGACCCAAGCAAATTGAACAGTGTGGTCTGCGCATTTGCGCTTGAACCGTATGGTGTGTTGTCAGGGTGGGTTTTGGGGGTGTCTTTGGAGATTTCTCTGGGACATGTCTTAAACAATTGTTGCGAATGTCTTTCGTAGTGGTTTTCAGAACTTTTGCTGGATGTCCGGGGGGGGGGGGGGGGGGGGGGCGGGGGGGGGCGGGGGATGTCTTTGGAAATGTATTTTAAAGGACATGACATGTCTTTGGCAGCTTTGCTTGTGGGGGAATCCTTGGGGATGCTTCCGGGCATGCGTTGGGGAATGTTTTTGGTGGTTCACGTTTGGGTTTCTTTCTAGTCCTGTTGTTGGGGATGGCTTTGGGAACGCCTTTGGTATTGCACATGTCTGCCTTCGGGTTTGTGGCCTCTATCAGGTTTTTCCCTCTCCCTCTCTACTTTTCCTCGCAAGCCCAGCGCTAGCCTGGCTTGAGAGGCTCTTTCAAGCTTGGATTTGAACACGTCAAGCTGAGGCCCAGACAAGCAAACGACAGCTCGACATGAAATACACTCCTCAAACAAAGACAACACAAATCAAACCCAACTAAAATCCAAAAACAGATACTGCTTGGATCTGTTGTCTTTGTTTTTGGCCTTTGCCTTGTGCCTTCCTTAAAAACAACAACCAACACAGTCAAACACACGGAAAATCCGAACGTCTTTGCCTTCAAGCCCTGTGGGCTTGAACGTCAAACGAGCTCCGAGGCTCCCGCCGCCGTGTTGCCGCCGAAGCTGTGGCCCACCAAATGCACCGGGCACGAGCGGCTCCAGCGCGGCAGGAGGCCTACGAGAGACGCCGACGAAACCGGCCAAACCGACGAAACCGGCCAGGCACCCGAGCCCAGAGAAAGAACCAGGGGGCGGACCTGTTTCTCGTGGTAAAAGAACAACAGTTTTTTTGTGGGTCTGTCTGAAAGAACAAAGGTTCATATGGGTCCGACTGAAAGAGGTTGGTGCCGTTTTAAATGATGTTTGGCACTAATAGGCAAGGCTTACAGTGGGGGGTCACGTTTTTGGGGAGGACCTCCAAAATGGCTTCGGTTTGTCCTTTTGATTTCCCATTACAACCACAAAAATGGGGTACCCTCAACAAAAGCCGTACTCATATGGGTCGGTCTTGTTTGGGAGCTTGTACTCTTATATAAGTTGGTGGGTTTTGAAAGGAAACCGCAAAGAAAACCGTAGCCATTTTAAGGGGTCCCGTAAAAGAAGGCAGGGGATTGTGGGAGTGCACCGTTTGCAATATGCTTCTCTGCATTTGTATGCGAGTCTGTATTTGCTGTTTGCACGCGCTTCACTTATGTTGAGTTCTAGTTGAATAAAATGTGTTTAAGTCTTAACCAATGTGTAAACACCATGATATTGAACACGAAATCCTGCATAAATGTTCAATTGAAATACCTATTGTGAAACTTGATTAAACATGACTATGGTTGGATTATGTGTTTTTGTTCTAACTAAATTTAAAAAGAAATTGAATAGAATATGACAAAGCCAGTAACCAAATGTCATAAGGAAAGAGTTAAAATGACTCTACATTGAATAGCTGGCTTTTACATGTTACCTGATTTGTAGTGAGAACTTGATTGGAAAGGGAATGCGTAGTAAAAATTGGATTGGAATATAAATTGGTTTGTTTAAAACTAATTTAAGACATATATATATATACAAAAAAACAAATGTTTGGGCTCGGTCCGCACAAAAGTTCATCTAAACTCAGTTGGACATTGAGTGGAATTTGATAACAATACAAAGTATTTATGATTTCACAAGGAATCAATTCGGAGGTACTAAAGTCCCGAACGGGCTGAGAACTTGAATTGATGTAACATAGGACTCAATACAGTTGTTCTTGCTGAGCAAAGCATCGATGGCCTTTCGGAGGCTCATCTAGTCGTCTTCTTCTCAACAGCTTTGCGGATCCACCAAAGACAAGCCATGTTGCAGGGAAATGTCGGAAACCGCTTGCTTCAATCTGGTGCCCCAATGAACCAACCCAAAAAAAGGGTACCGTCAAAAACACACGGCCACTCCTGTTGGTGGAACATCACCCAGGACTTTCTGTGACGAAGAGGGATCCCCATGCAATCATCCAACCACAAGGCTGTGAGAAATGGATTCCGCTTCTGTGATACAAAAGCAAGGGCCTAACCCCAAAGACTAACCCTGTCCACAACGGGAGATTCCAACTTGTATCACAGAAGTGGATGGATAAACCCAACCCTGTCATGACCACCTCTTGTTTTGGCGACAGCCCGCGGCCAGTCACAGAAGCCGGAACGAAAACCGCCGAAAACACGCGAAGAACATGCTCACCATTGCTCACCAGTGATGTCTTGGGGGCCAAGTGGCTTTGGTCTAAGTGGTAAGCTAAGTCTCCAAGTCATAAACCCTCGCTTTAGGGTGGGCACTCACAGAAAGCCGGCCTGAAACCGACATGAGAAGCAATGGCAGCCATGGCATCAGTCCTTGAATCAACAAGCAAATCCTGCCCCCAACTCTAGTTGACAGCCATGTGAGTGTTGATCAAAATGCGTATGTCTTCTTTTGGGGAACCCTTTTTTGTGGCTTCAAAGGGGAACGAAAAGACACACCTTCATTTTTGGGGTCCCCTCAAAAGAGACAGACCAGGGCACCCTGTGGCCCACGCCTCTTTCAACAAACCTGTCTTCATTCCGCAAACCTTGCCTTTTGCGAATACGCCCGGGACAAGAATCCGGGGATCAATTCAGTAACGACAGCAAAACGCGGGAGGAAATGAGAAACCACCCTAAAATGGAAGCCCCTAACAAACGACCTGCATACCCCCTCGCCCCCGCCTTTGCCCCGGAAATCCTGGCCAAAGCGGGCGTGGCAGCACTGGTGCGAATGCTCCTCGCCTGAAGGAAACGAGTTCGTCCTTTCGACGAGTGGAGGTAAACCCGTAGCTGGCAGCCTGGTGCTGGATATGAGGCCTGGGTTTACCTTGCACCCCTCTGGTTTTCTGAGGTCTCATGCAACAAATCCAACCAGAAATTGGCAAACACACAGGTTGGAAAGCCGGCCAGTTGGAGGTGTGGAGCACATTCCAGTGCTACTGACGGAATCTGACTGAAAAAACATTTCAACTGCAAAACAAACTCCAAAATAAGTACATAACTTGCACATGTACTAGTCGTTGTGTTTGTTTTTCCACATGTTATATCAAAGCAGCTCATGCTGTGCACATAAGGCATGTTTCGAAACATGCATTTGATGAGTTGTGCAGCCGTGAAATTTTTGACTATGGACATCATGCGCCAAGAAGTCATGCCAAGCATGGGATCCCATCAGCGGCCTCTGGGAAGCTTCGGGCGAGCACAGACGCTGGGCATCCCGGCCGTAGTCGACTTGTAGCCCCATCCTGCGGTGCAAACATGTGACCCCCCCCCATTTTTGTTTGATGCATGTTTCTCTTCGAGGGAACGGTGCCCATTAAAGACCGAACCTTTATTTTGACTGTGCACAACTCCTTGCGTTGCCTCCGAACTTGACTTTCGAGATACACATGCCGGGCATCCCTTTAAGGCACCCTTGATGTTACCAAGGGTGTCAAAAGTCAGCCTACCTCTTTGTGCAGGTCATTGACTCTGTTCAACCCATCCGAACCACCAACTGCTGAGGTGATTTCAACTCCGGCAGCGGATTCCCAGCCCTGGAACGAGGTACCACTAGACTATACATGTCAGTGTTCCCCGCGTGCAAGCGGATTGCAGCATTTGATATTTCCCTGAATGGGGAGTGTGTATTTTTCAGTATGTTCAGTTGAACCCCCATTTTGGAGGGTGCTTAGGCACCCTTTCATTCCTGGCCCTTCGGACAAGTGAGGCGTCTCATCATCCAGGTAGACAACCAACATGTTGCACAAGATGGGCATCGAACCCAGACAAGATGAAACAAAAGATGGCTCCCTAGCTCACTACAAAGAGCGCCAAAAATGCTTGGCCTCCAAATGATTTGCCTGGGCTTCCTCCGCAACACCAGGGGTCCAAAGGGGCGACAGGGGTCCAAAAGGGCTCCCTGCAAAAGTCTGGGGGGTGGTATGCCCAAGCAAGAGGGCAAGCGCTTCCCAAAACAACAACGGAGCCGCTTTTGGAGTTTGGTGTGGCGAGTTTCCGACTAGCCTGACACTGAGATTTGCCCAAATCTTCCGCCAACACGTGAGGGGGTGTTCAAAAAGAACGCGTGCCTTCCTTATCAGGCACATTTGCACAGTCGCATCTCTGCACGCCGACCCTGTATTCACGAAATAAGCAGCTGGAGCCGTGTCAGACTTTAAAGCTGAGGAGCGGGGAGGGGGGGGGGGAACGAGGCGAACAAAAAAAGTCATGAGCCTCTTTGGTCAACCCTCACGCGAATCCCTGGATCAGCATTGAACTTGCCGGGTCAATTATCAATGAACCCCTTCCAAACTACTCGCATACAAGCTTCAGCCATATGTCAATGTTCCTTTTCCCTTCAACCCCAGTTAGAAACGGTACCAACTCCACAAAACACACACACATCTGCAAATCTTACTATGATTCCACAACGTGAAATACAGGATCCCTTCAAGGAGCTACGTACATCAAGCACGCTTTATCCCCGAATCGGTAAGCTCGCTGAAAAGTAGACAAACCCACCGAATCAATCGCGGCCGAGGATCAAGTGTGCGAAGGCTTCGCAAGCGCGGTCGTGATCACTGCTGGCTGCGCCAATGTCCACCTTCAGTTCCATGTCCCACAAGTCCGGTTGCGCGTCTCCCACTTGGCCGCTGGTTGGTAAATGTGGTTGCCTGCATTTGCTGGGGTTCCCTCTATATCTATACATATATGTTTTTTATGACCAGAGGCGGCCAAGTAGGAAAACTCCGAAAGCGTTGTTGCAGGATGTTAGCAATCGACACGGAGTACGTGTGCCCAGGGTTTGATGGTTGACCCCCTTTGAGAAAAAATCGAGGAGCATGAAACCGGTTCTAAACCCTTGTTTTTAGGTTGGCGACGTCTCGTTTTTGCACAATTGCCCCAAAATCGAACGGCAACGCCCTGCTTGTGGCATTATGTTGGTTCCATCTGCATCGTTCATCCATTAAACACAAGTTACCATGCCCATAGTGTTGTGTATATCCGGCAGATGTAGATGGGAGCAGTCTGCCATCTACTTTCACCCTGGCGTATATAGAGGCACGCACATGCAACGAACATGGACGCATCATGCGGATTCGAGCGGTTTCAACGTTGAATCCCCGAGTATCCTCAAGGAGACACACCCGGGAGAGATCACTAGTCAATGACTCATTTAATGACATGGATGGCTTGCCATTTGCCAAAGGCCCATTGAGCACTGTCGCGCCTTTATCAAAAAGAAACTCCGCACTTGGCCCAAAAGGGGATTGGCACCCAAAGAGAATCCCACCCACCCACACCCCACACCAAAGGCCGCCCACAAACCCTGGAAAGGTTCTTGGAACCTTACAGGGGCTTCTCAGAGAAGGTCCTTAGCAGGGTTTGTCCAGCCTTGGGGCGCTACTCACGTCTGACCTTGGCCCGCATCTGGGGTCCCAACTCTGATTCCTAATTGGTCTACCCTAAATGTGAAATGAACTTGGCGATTTCAGTGACGCCTACCCGTCTGGCAACGGAATTTCAAACTGCTTTGGCAGAGCGGCAGCAACGACTTCGCCCTCAGGCCAGCGGTCCCGGATGAACTTGAGCGGGAAGTAGTCTGGCATCCATCCTTACTAAATTGCTCCAAAGTGACATCCGCAAAATTGTCCTCAAAACGGTGGTGTAAAGGGAACCCGGCCAAAAGCTTTGAGAGCCCCCGAACAAATGCAACAAGGCATTTGTGAAGAAAAATGTTAAGAAACAACGGGACGCTGGCTGTATCGTCTCTTGAGTCAAGACTCTTGAGCATCAAGAGTGAAGAGAACAAAGAGCCGATTGCTAGATGTACCTTTCCGCGCCCTTTTTGCCAAACTCGTTGCAGCCCCTCTATGAGTGTGGATACCCTCATGCCAGCAACACCCACCCCTGAGACATGTCGCTTGCTCTTGGTTGTTCATGCTTCAAATCACCTGCAACGTTAAACGGTTGTGGTTGGCTTCTTACAAGGAGATCCCAACTAATTAACCATGAGACACAGGGGTAAAATTCTAATGCGCCTTGCGCTTGGATAGTTTATGCAAGAATCCACCCTCAAAAGGGTGGGAGGGCTTGCACGCGGGTGATCGCCCCCGCAAAACAAAACAGATCTAATCGAAGACGAGGACGCTGCCACGCGTATATACGCATGGAAAACTTCTTTTCAGTGCCCTGGAGTCATTTTCTGGGTGCTATGATCCATGTTGAAAATAAAGTAACTTGGCCCCATATAAATCAAACAGGTCACTTAAGCCATTTAAAGGGCACTTGGACCGTCAGGGTTGCCCTCCCCGGCAAATCCTTCTTCAGTCCGGGCAAATCGAGCCGCAGCGACACATGACACATGAATGCGAATGACACTTGGGGGGGGGGTCCAAATCGAGCCGCAGCGACGCGCGAATGACACTCACGCAGCCGCGACCGACACTAGCGTAAGTGACCTTTTCCAGGGGGAAGTGACCTCAATTCACACCCCCACTGACTCCCAAATGACACGCTTTGACACTCAAAATGCCATGTTCGGGCAATTCTGGGTCGGCCCAATCAAATGTGGCAGTCACGCTTGAACACTGGTAGCTGTTCGATTTCAACAAGATCCCAACCCCAAGCTGGGGGCACATTTGAATGGCCCGTATGGACCACAGTCAACGCACATGTCAGGCTTGGTCGTGACACTTACTGGGAACTCGCGTGATGGTCAACCTTTCTTGAGGGCTTCATGTCTAGCCCTAAGCCCAAGGAAAGTTGTGACCATGAATGTGCTTCCCCTAAATGTCAGGTAGCATGTTAGCCGGGAGGGCAACCTCAAAGATACACACAATCACATATCCATCCCCATGTGCTTTCTTGAGTTATGGCAACAAGCACTCAGACCCCCTCAGACACGCCCTCCACTCGGGTATTTGGGCCGAAGAACCCAGTACGACGCCCTGGCTTTTGCACGCACATTAGGTACGCAACCCATATTTTCCTCCGAATCAACAGCTGACCAACGGCCATACCACCACATGCTCGTAAATGGAAGCCCAAACAATGGGTGGTTTCGCTTGAACTCCCTTGACCCCGAGCTCCAAATGGTACAGCCATATTGCTCCCAGCATCCAAAGAGAGGCCGATCTTCGCCCCAGCCCAGCAGTCCATGGATCATCACAATGTCCGGCATGGCGTGGATATGAAACACAGAACCCAGACCCGCAAATGTTTACTCACAAGCAAATCGCAGGCGTTCGGCAGCTCTTTGCTGACGCTGCATGAACGTGTGCTGACAGGCGCGTGCGGCTAGACAGTTTCTTCCTTGTTGACGGCGGCAACAATGTTTCATTCAGATTGTCAGGCGGCTGCTGACAACCGATGTGGACATGATCTGCATAGCAGCCAGAGTCATTTGATTTGTTGGGACAGCCTCAAGCCTGAGACACGAAGATGTGTAACCTTCCCTTCTGGCTGCAATTTATATAGCCAAGGCTGCGGGCGACCGCGTCAACGCGGAAATCCATGCGTTTCCATGTTGCTACCTGTTTGCAATCAGGTAGTCCGACTTAGTCCAAAAGAAAACCATCTGTTCCAGAACGCGGTGGTGGTCAGCGCACACGCGGACTTGGGCAAGTACCTGACAAGTTACAGATTTGATGGCCAAGCACTTATTATATGTCACCTTGGCACAGGACAACCTTGATGCTTTCCAGGGCAAATGCGAAGACCCGCAGATCGCAACCCATGGACTCTTGTTACTTCCTGCAGCAGCAAATCCACAGAGCAAGTACTGGTACCAGTGTCAAAATTGGATCGTGCAAGAAGGATGGACATGTGGAAAATATGAGACAGAAGGAAACAAGCAGGCCTGCTTTCCTGGATTTATCTCCAGTGTTCACCTTTCAAGGTGCTTGTGAAGGACACCGGGGTTGGGCAAAAACTACGCTGACCATCTTAACAAGCAAGATTAATAGAAGGCTGTTTGAACAAATGTATTTAGGACTAAATGCACCCAGCATTATCTTGTGATTATAGCTTACAGTCATAGTACCCCAAATGCCGCTCTAATTTCTGCACATTATAGTGGGCGTGTAAACACGGGTTTAAGCACGGGGTTCTCGCACTCAGCTCCTGAGACTCCTTGATGAGCTGATTGGTAGCGAGGGTCCTGCCCCAAGTTGCAACCAAGGGAATCCGCATTTTTGTACAGGCCCAACATGCGCAACTTTTGTTTGGCCCGAAGTGGGTTGACGAGCAAAATCAACCACATTGTAATCGCTCCATTAAATATATATATATATATATATATATTACCAGTGATTACGGTCCCCCCCCCACCCACCCCCATGGTATAGACACTACACCATATATATTTGTTTAACAACTAAAAACAAATATACTTTCCGGACCCACCAAAGACCAGCCATGGCTTGGCCCACTTCCCTTTCGCCGGAAAAAAAGCGACGACCAACCACACGCGCACACACACACAAGCGGAAAATAAACGGTCAAGACGTCGGCTTTCAGCCGAGAGGTGTCACGAAACAGTGGGTCTGCTGAAAAAATCTGCTCCCACGTGTGCTTCCCTTTTGGACAATGAATACAGTTGCTCATAGGTGCACCTCCGGTTCAAGTACCCAACCTGAACGTGTCGACTACACTGAAACACCTCTTGCCACTTTAGCCGCCGGGTGATGTCTAACTAGCCTGGATTTAATGAATTGAGCTTGTCCGTTTATTGAGGGTACCCTTTTACCAAAGCCAAACCGAAGCCCGATTTGGGGGCTCCGTATCCCATCAGGTGACGAAGCTTGGCCTGGAGTAGTGGATGGGTGTGGGTGTGTGAGTGTGTGTGTGTGTGTACCCCAGTGAAGGAATCCCCATGTTGACCCCCATTAAATCAACCTGGCGCTTTAACAGGGAGTGTTTCCCCCCCCCCAATGCACGAGCGACCATGGGAACACCGCGACCTCATCAAACCATAATTCGTGATTCCAGCCGGCACCAGTGGTTGCGAATCCAAGATCGACGTGGCAGGGCGGTCATTTTAACGAATGCTTTGGGGCACGGCAGCACACCTGCATGAAACCTATGCTTGTGGACTTGTGGAGGGACATATTTCAAAAGACAGCCTTGCCCTTGGACAATCTGGCCCTGCCGCTGGTCCCACTTGCTCCCGGCGACCGGCAAAACAAGTCGGCACCAGATTCTTCTGAGAACGAGTCTCGTAAAACAGAGGCATCAGCTCAAAGGGAAATGACATGAACCTCCCACAAGCAACGGCAAACATGACATCTCTATCTAAGCCGGCTGCCAGTACATCATCCTACATCCAACAAATCCACCACCCAATGGACATGTCAATGTGGACACCATGCATGCTGCATATGTCGTGGTTGTATACTCAACTTGTGATTGGCGGTTTGGGGGGTAGACTAGAAGTAGAAGCCATCAGCAGTACTCGTGCCCAGATAGGATCCAGAGTGTTTCGGAGTCCCTCAAGTTTGCGTGGCCCGTCTCGCCTCCCGAAACCAACGGTACCATGTATTTCACCCAGTGCTCAAATGGTCAATATGCGTTGACGCCCCTATGGCATGGACAATGAGTAAGCAACTCTCCCATGTGGCTGTGAGTCAACACCCTGTGCCCCTGGTGAACATCAGAATAGGGGGCAAATGGATGTTCATCCACCCCAAAATGGAGCCATGGGTTATGCCCCATGGCCATGTTCCAACGGTAAGTTTGCCCAATGACATGCCTGTGACTGGTAAATGGTGAAACTCCGAGACATCCGTCATCCGCCCCCTGCCTCTAGCCTCATCGGGAGGGCCTGACAGGGGTGCAGGTCTCTAGTACTGAAGATTGGTTTCCTTTGCTGGTTTAAATCTGCTTCTTCTTCTTCTTCCAACTCGTCTAGTGCCCAAAGTACTATGTTCTTGCAGCTTAAGACACCCACTGAACATAAACAGATCTAACCATGCAACAAATGGCATGCCAACAGCTGGCATGTGGTTCGCAAGACATCTTCACTTGTTGCTGGTAAATGAGTCATAATCAAAACCCGGTATCAAAATGGTCTACCCAGAACCATGCAAGGAAATAATAAATAAGAAGGCGGCCGCAGCTATTTATGGTTGGGATTGTCCCTTACTAACCTTCATCTACCCGGGTTTTGATTGCGGCTCAAATAGCCCTGGGGGTTCAACCCACTTTTGAAGCAATTCTTTTCATGCGAATCGGTTGAACCCTAGAGGTAGCTCGGGTGAGCCAAAGGATTCAAAGGACTTTCAGGTCGTGGCAACGGCCAAGGCATTTGCACAAATTCCCATCAAGGCCAGGCCAAATTCAAGCCACAAAACAGGATCAAACCACGAGCAAAACAACAAATCAATCCAGCATCAATCACAATCAAGCCACAATACCATGGTATTGATCTGCAATTCGTAAAATCTGACACAACTGCACTACGGGAACTCCAAGCAAACGACCTTGATTGCGAGCTCGGTTTACCCCATGCCATAAAAACGGCTTTGAACATGTCCTTCCATTTCCTCCCATTTGTCTAAGTCGATTCTCTCTGGTCTCAAGGGCGTCCCACGAAGGAACTGGCGCGAACGGATCCTGAAGTCTAGCAGGCATTTGCCTAATTGGCTGAAAGGACCCCTCAAATCGCTAGATGCATGTCCCGAAACACTTTGCTTGGAAGGCGCAGGTTCCGCGCGTTGGCCACATAGACCGAAAGTGACACATCTGGGGTACCTCTTGGAACAGGTCGGATTCAGGCGCAAATGTTGCAAATGTACTTCACATCAAGTCGTGTGAGTCCTCCACCAGCACCACCTTTTCGGCCTGCTTTGACTTTCGGCAATGGTCAAACACATCCATTTGCTGCTTGATCGTGATTATTGACTAAACTGATAATTTCCACACATGAACCCGGCATAACCTAACTTGTTTCCAATGCAGGACATGGGAAATGTGGGTGACAACCCACTGGTTTGGGGACATGTGGGTCACCCTATGATACTCCTCGAATCAACAGTTGATCATGTAACTGTCGCCCTTTGGTCTTCTCTTCCGAGATCGGATGCTTGTATACTATAGGTTTCTAAGGCAGGAAACAAACCCTTAAGGGGTATCTAACCTTCGTACCTCCATACCTACCTGAAACAGCCAACATATGTTTAATCATCTTTGGTGTCCTCCCACATGGAACTGTACAAGCTCCCTCTCCCAGGAGAGACTCTTCCGAAAATATGTACGTGCAACCAATGTGTAGGAACGCACACCGCTGAACTCGTCAGTTTGGTTTGTGTCTGTCTGTCTGTCTGTCTGTCTGTCTGTCTGTCTGTCTGTCTGTCTGTCTGTCTGTCTGTCTGTCTGTCTGTCTGTCTGTCTGTCTGTCTGTCTGTCTGTCTGTCTGTCTGTCTGTCTGTCTGTCTGTCTGTCTGTCTGTCTGTCTGTCTGTCTGTCTGTCTGTCTGTCTGTCTGTCTGTGTGTCTGTGTGTCTGTGTGTGTCTGTGTGTGTGTGTGTGTCTGTGTGTGTCTGTGTGTGTCTGTGTGTGTTGTGTGTGTCTGTGTGTGTCTGTGTGTGTCTGTGTGTGTCTGTGTGTGTCTGTGTGTCTGTGTGTCTGTGTGTCTGTGTCTGTGTGTCTGTGTGTGTCTCTGTGTCTGTGTGTCTGTGTGTCTGTGTGTCTGTGTGTCTGTGTGTCTGTGTGTCTGTGTGTCTGTGTGTCTGTGTGTCTGTGTGTGGGTTGGTCGCCAATGTTGACCCAGTTTATGAATAGGGGGTGATGTTTGGCCCTTCCAAAAGTGGCCTGAGTCGCCACATTTCACCCAGAAAGAAGCACCCCCCCTATTGATACACTGGCTGGTTGATGAATATGGGCTCAACACTAGCTTGCTGGTTGATGAATATGGGTTCAACACTAGCTCGCTTCGCATTCCGCAGTCTGCTTTTTTGCAGCACAACTTCCTTTTTCGCAGTCGCTTTGACACTGAAATGCTGGGAGGCGCATACGTTGATGGCTCCCTCATCTCGCTCGGCCAAACAGCCAAGAATCTTAGGGGCTGTAAAGGGGCCAAATTATACCAGAGCCGGCGAGTGAGTGGCAAGGATAGGCGGATTGCCAGCGGGAAAACCAAGGGCTTCGCCCCCTTGGTACAAATGATCACAAGGAACCATATGAGCGGTCAAAATGACGAATGTGCCCCGGAAAGGGCGAGACAAAATGCTACCCTCCCACTAACATGCAACCTGACTGGAAGGCGGCTATGCTGTTAAAGGTGGGTTCCATGTTAGTGGACGGGAGGGTAGTGGGAGGGTAGTGAGCTCGTGAATCTTTGCGAGTTGTCCTCTTTTTCAGATTAACCGTGGATCGCATTTTGACCGAACAGCATGCTCTGGGCTGAGAATTTCTCGGCAGCTCAGACTTTCGCTTGCGTGGTCTCCACATCCTGCACTCGACCGGTGAGGTCCAGCAAACAAAACTCATCCTAGGATCCCAAAGCCTTAAATATCAGGGCCGTTGAAGCCCCAAAGACTTCAAACATTGGGAGTAAGGACTTGTTGGGGAATTTCCAACCCCCAACCGTGTCTAATCCGATACTCATGACTGAATGTGTTAAGCTGGGTGTGTCGTTTTTGGGTTGCACTCCCCAAAATGGTGGGTTGCTTTTTTGTTTCCCTTACAAACCATCCAACGAGGGAACTGAGCAAGAACAAAAGAGCTCCCAACTACTCCACACCCCGATTGTAATTGTTTAGGCCATAGCTGAGGATGGACGAAATCCTGCACCACCTAAGAAACCCTGGCATGATAGTTCCACTGTAAGTACCAACAAAGATTGTTGTCTATGGTTTTAAAGTGGTGCAGGATTTCGTCCATCCACAGTAGGGTTCGAAGCCTCCGTAGCCCCTGTGCCCGCTAGTCTTTGGGCTGGGTTGCCATCTCCCTCTCATAAAACCCTTACATTTTTGGCGCGGGATGGAAAACGGGGTCCCTGCGGTCTTCTTCTTTCGCTCCCAACAAAAAAAAACAAAAAATCATGTCTCTCTGCGCAAAAACCCGACCTTTACAATTCCCTGTATTTGTTAGTATCATATCCCCAGCAGAGGGTGTTGGAAATGATCTTAGGCTTGCTTCCCATGTTGGATCTCCGATGAAAATGAGGGAATGACCCCCATAAACCATCCCTTGTGGTCTCCTCCAAGGGAATCCCTCATTCCTAACACCCTGGGTCATTCTCTTTGACTGGTCCTCCAGCACTAGGGGACCCCTTACTCATTTTGATGAGCTTGGCCGCTTGGCCCATGTCATTGCCTCTACCATAAACCTGGTGCTTAGAAACCTCCTGTGCTGGCAACTCGTGCTTGGACACTTCTTTTGTGCTGGTGCTTGAAACCCCCCTATGTGCTGGTGCTAGGAAACCTCCTACGCGCTGGTGCTTGGAAACCTCCTTTGTCTTTCTCATCAAAGAAATGGCGTTGCTCATTTGCTCGTCGCAAGTTTTCATTGAGCTGTGATTCTCTGCCGAGCTGGGTGGACACTGGAAATATGTGGGGGGGGCTATCGTAAATGCCACTCAAGTTGAGTCGCTGCTATTAGTGTTCGTGCATCCTCCTGAAGTTGTGCCCCAGCGTCGACTCCCTTCCGACTTGGGGAGAATCAACCTACGGGGAGATACGGGGTCGAAAAAGGAGCATATCGCATGACGGTCACCGCTGCAAGATGACATCCAATTGTTCCGCGAGGACAAACCGCTACGATTCCTGCATTTGCTTAAGTCTCTTGGAAACAATAAACATATTTCCAGTAGGGACAGATTCCATTTAAAACCAACAAGGGAAAATAAAACATATTCTTAAGCAAATGGGAGGATTCCTTTCAGCTCTTTCACCAATGTGGCTTGTTTTGCGTCAGGGCAGTACCGTTAGCGAAAACCATCAATTCACAGTTTTCGGAGGCGGGGGATTGGTAGGGTCAAGGTCCGCCAGGTCTATTCAGCCATTCACAAATCATGCCCTGTTGCAGCGGTTTTTGTGCTATCCACCTGAACATCCCCCCCCCCCTCCCCGAAACTACAAAAAATATTAGAAAAACGAACAACACCTATTCGTCTGCTGTAAGAGGTCGGGTGATTGAAATGCAAAAAGCTGTGTCTTAGAAGCCCAAGGGCGGCTGGTTTAAACCTGAAGGCTAAACCTGTCCAGAGCCCCCCCCAATTTTTGAGGACACACGCAGATGGATATGGGTCAAAGTTAGTCACCACCAGGATAATCACAGCAGGTGTTAGTCCTTTCCATTTAGCCGAAAGAAAAGGCCTGGACTAGACTCATCAGAACATCCGGCGTGCACTGACACGCAGAACATCTGTGTTTGTGTGTCTGTGTGTTTTGCGGGTAGTCTGTTTGGGGCTTTAATGGGAAAACAAGGGGGGAAACACCCTTTGCGTGTCTTATTCAGGGGACCCCCAACAAATGGTAGTTGTCCTTTGGTTTTCCTTAGTTTCCCTTTGAAACCAACCCACAAAGGGTACCCCAAGCCATAGCACCGCTGACCCCCCAAACATTTCCGCCTTGCGCTGCTCGAAGGGAGTCGCCGCCCATGGGTTCAGCGCAGAGTTCCCCGAAGCTGACAATGCGCGCGTCGATTTCGGCGTCGATTTCGAGGCGTTTCCCCGAACTAAGTTATAATCAAGACCACAACTGGACTAAACACAACTGCAACTAAGTGCGTTTCCCCTGAGCACAACTGCACCTGAGTTATACTCAAGACTGGCACTAAAGGAGCTCTACCCGGAACGATGTCAAGAATTACAAAGGCGGCTGCACGCGTTTATGGTTGGGGCTGTCCCTTACTATCCTGATTGTGGCTCAACTGGGTTTGCCAACTTGATTTAGCCCGTGTGGGCATACCCCGACGTTGAGCCCTACAATATGCATACATGTGCAAGTATACTCCTTGTAAACCTGCAACTTCCAGATTTGGAAGAAGAACAAAAAACGGACTTGTCTGCCGTTTCGTGACTTGTTACGGACTTGTCTGCCGTTTCGTGACTTGTTCTTTTCTGCCGCAGAAACTGCCATGTTGCAAGTTGATTCATGTCACAAATCATGACCCCTTGGTCGCGGAAAGTTGCTGTTCCGACGGCAAACGTAGCCGTTTGGATGGGTTACAACAGCCCAGTCAAGTTCGCGCGAAACCACAAGAAACTTCTCATTTACAAAAAATACTTTTCGCCAAAGCACCGTTGCCATGAACAACATCTTTTCCTGACCAAACAAACAGCAGAGCAATATCCCTTAAGAAGGCACATTTTACAATATGTCCGAAACATGACACAACAGATCTCTAATAGGACCTACATCATAGTGAGCTCGTTCTACCCCCCGATAAGCTCGCCAAAAAATAGGCATACGATGCATATATAATATCAGATATTGTATGTCAATATCCGGCTCTCTACCTATCCTTCTATCTGTGTTTCAATACACACCCGTATAATATGGCTGGACACCCCACCCACAACTGTGCTGGAACATGCCCAATAAAAATCACATGGACACATCATACATCGAGGAACATGTCAAAGAGGATGCGCAAGGTGGGCTACTGTTGGCTTCCCTCCAATTCGCGGCTTGGATTGGTGCTTTGCAGATCTGGACATGCGTGTCCATTTAGGGTCTACAAGAGTCAGGGGTTCGAATCCCCACCAATTCAAGACACCGACTTGGGCTGGCCAAAATGGACGGCTGGAAACCACCAAGCCACCAAGCAACCAAGGGCTACCTGGGTGAAACTGGCGGGGCGGACGTGGAGAACGTCCGGCACGGCTCCTCTCGCCTCCCTTGAGGCTGCAGTCATCCGTGGCGGACTCCATAAGGCCTCGCGACTCACTGAGCGATGTGTTTGTTTATTATTATTATTATTATTACTATTAGTAGTAGTAGTAGTAGGATTATTATTATTATTATTATTATTATTATTATTATTATTATTATTTGCAACCAAAGGAGCTGGAAATACTTACTACAGCTGAACCTTTTGGAGCAATCGCCAAAATATGCCAATGGAAAGCCAAAAGGTCGGCTTTGGACCAGTGAGAAATTGGTTTTGTATATAAGGTCGGGCTCACCTGGTTTTTGTATACGCCTTGCTAAAACCCCTGTGAAACCAGGCAAACCACTGGGCTGTCAAGTGCACAGGTTTCTCCAAGAGATGGCAAAATGAGGGCCTTTCCCACAATTTTGTGGGACATGGTGTCAGCTCCGCATGTCCCTCCATGGACAATGGACTACTCTTGGTCTACCAGTTCAATGGGCTCCAAGAAATGGGCTCCTTTCGGATACCTCCTTTGGTGCAGTTTATCACCCGTTCAGGGTCTGAGCAGTCGGAAGCCAACATGAAATGCTTAATCTAAGTGGGCCGGCAAGCCTCGAAAAGCGAGCTCTTGGGCTGAGTAGACGTCCACCAAAAAGGCCTTGTATGTAGCAAACATGTCTCAATCGCCTGTTGCACCGACCCGCAAGGCTTCCGTTGAGGTACCGCGCAATATGCCAGGCGGTTCAAGTGAAGCGTTGCCGACCATACACATCATTTTCAGTGGAAACGGCGACTAGGTCCTCCAGTTTTGTGAGGTTAGAATAAGGGTACCCTTTTTTTCCCGTAGTCAATCTTAGTAGCCGAACCCTCCCCCAAAAAAGAGGAGAGAAAGGCGCGATCCTGGGGGACCTAGGCGAGTTCCGTTTCAACCTCCCAGGCCCAAGAGCAGCGTCACTCAAAAACCAACGGAACTCGCTATGCAAAACTGAGCAGAGCAAAAAGATGCAGACCTAAAGCACGGACCAAGTCCTGGCCAAAGGGAACCCAAGCTAAGGCCCACCGGTTTCTGTGGCGGTCTCAAGAGGTTGGGTGGACGCTTCTCCATGAAAGCGCCACAAGGCGCATTTTCGTCATGACATGTTTGTTTCGTGGAAAACATGGCAGATCTTCAAAAAAGGAATCCATTTCCCACATTTGGAAAGGCGGCGTATCATTTCTTAGGCTTGAAAAGAACATGGTGTGCCCCTGACCAAGGTCTTTAATTGTAGTGGCAAATATATTTCCATCAACATTCCCCCATGTGAAACAAGGGCTCCCAAATCAGCATTCAGCATGGTTCCGAGTGGGAGACCATGCAACAGTCCTTGTGGCCCCCCTCCCCAAACCGATGGGACCTATAGACCACTGCCAGCAGCCCGGTTGGAACATGTGGTTGCCGTGTTTGAACCACGCAAACGTGGTCCCAAGCAGTCATGTTGACCCCTCAAACCCCCCTTTTCTTCGAACTGTCCTATTCCACACCCCCCCCCCCACCCCCTCCCCCCCCGATTGCCAGCCAATACTGCTTGAAGATTTCACAGTGGCCCACACATATTGGCAAACAACAACTCCCACCATCGAGGATCCTCGAAAAGCTTCATTTGTTCGACCCTGAGGTGGGGGATTGCTAATCAGGGGTAAACATTAGCTGGGCACAGAGGGACAATGCTGAAGACTGAAGCCGGCCAAAAAAAACCAAACACACACACACACACACCTTCTGAATGTCATTGCTTTTCCTTGGAACTTCTTCTTTTCAACCACCCTTCCTTGGGGCGCCCATCCCCAAAAAACCAAAAAATCCACCTTCGGCCAGCGGTCGAAGCCCATAGCTCGCTCTGGTGGCTCGCTCCGACCCCGCCTGCCCCTTGGCTCAAGGTGCCCAAGACCTGAGGCGAGGCTCAGCGCCTACCTGGTGACATCCACATACCACCAGCCTGAGATGGCCATGGGCTTTTCAAAATCCAAATCGGTTAGCCCCCAGTGAACATCAACCAATCCAACCACTAAAATAGACTAACATGGCAAAATGGTACCATCCCATGCGCTGAAAGTCATATTTTTTGTAGTCTCCCCAGTGGTCATCCTATGTAAAAGATCTTGTGGTCAACTCTCATGTGGAGCGGTGCGATAGCCAGGATCCCTGAGTTGGAATGAGCCCGAGCCAGACCAGCCAACAGATTTGGTTTCCTTTAAAGGAATCCCCAGGTTCGTTTCTCATTCCTTACTGAGCACCAGCAAGAAAAAAACACAACACATACAAGGTTTGTTGAAACGAAGGACCTTTGTTTGGTTTGAAAGGGAAACAGGCAACAACTAGTCATTTGAAGGTCTCCGATTTTGAGAAACATCCATGTGGGTATGCGTCCCAGCTCGTGAACCTTGAGGCGCGCCGGTCGTGAGCCTTAGCCCCAGCCGAACTAAGGAATTTGGAAAAAGAACACACAAACACCCATCTGAGGTATGCTAACACCCGCTAAGATGGAATGAAGATACCAAACAACAAAGGAAGGCCGGGAGCCATGGGAGCGGCGAATCCCGAATCGCAGGCGGCAATGGCGCCGGTGCCGTGGCTCCGATCCAGTGAGTATCTGCCAAAAAAGCTGTGAGTGAGCCACCCTGTTAAAGTCATCTCCTGCTTGTCTCTCTGAACTGGGTGAAGGATCCCGCACTGAAGGCTGCCCTCAATATGTTGGTTGCACCCCCCCCAATTGACAAATTCCGGCTTCCAAATTCAGGGCTTGCCTTTTTCAGTGAAATGAACAGCCTCCCTTGAAAAGGGCTTCTACACTACAAGGGAAGCGGCCTATTTTTACCACAAACAGTTGAAAAGGCAAACCATGTGCCGAATTAGCGCGGATTGACTGCAGGAAACGCGCAAACCGCCACATGCATACCCAAGTGGGTATGAATAGGCAACCATTGAACTCACAAACACATGGGTTGCAACAGCCAACTTCATAGCCGTTGCATCTTAGGGGTTCGATACAAACTGGCCCCAGTATCGTTACCAGTATCAATCAAAGTCACCCCCTAAGTGGTGGGTTAAAGGGAAACAACCTCAGTTTCGGACTTTGACCAACCCCTGGAACAGCTAAACCAATGACCCCAAACAATTTTCAGGCACATATTGAAAACAAGCCTTCAGCACCGGTTCAGCATTGAAGCGCCGGTAGCACCTCCGGCCCTTCAAATGCTTCGTGGATGTACGATCATTTTGAGACGCCAAGGGTGTCAAAGTAGCGGGCCGAATATGGTGGCTTTCCCTGTGAACCAAGGTACGGGGTATCTTCGAGAAAAACACACACGCATAAAGTGTCCCTTCCCAGGATTCTCCCAATTGTTTGAAGGGCTTCCATCTCCGATTTCCAAAAGTGGATACACCCAGTGTTAAGCAATGACCGGACATGAGTGGTGTTTCTGCGGTGTCTTTTTGCACCAACCGAAACAATAGGCGCCCTACCCGTGGCTACACGCCTTTACCAACCAACACAAGGGACAATCAACATCAACAATGCCAGGTAAAACCACATGGGTCTGTCCATTTTCGGTGGTACTCCTTTTTGGGCGCGCATCTTCTTTGGACACCGAAAGGACATCCCGGCGGTTTTGGGGGGGAGGGGTCCGCCCACGCCCGCTTGACATGGCAGCCTTGAAGGCGTAGGACTTGCAAAGCTCGGCATCCTCTCCGCTGCAGGTCTTGGACCTTGTCCGGTCTCCCGGATCCGCTAACAGTAACTACCACTTTTAGTGGGTGAAATACTACCACGAAATCAACTAAGCAGCCTATGAAATCAGCTTAAAGGCCTAAAACGCTATGGGACCATGGAAATTCAAAACAGCCTCAAGAGCTAATTGAACCGGATGGCCGGAGTTCGGGAGCCAAAAGTTGGAATGGGGTTCATTCGCTGCTTAGGAAGCCAGTCTCAGTCGGTGTTTTTCGAGGCTGCCCTTGTTGGTGCGACAAACGGGAAAGGACCATGGTTCGATGAACACAAACAAATCGGGGTTTTGGAACTGAGGAAGGGGATTCCCAGGAAACTCTTTCTTGGCGTGGCCTGAAGCAAGCAACCAACTTGAAGCTGTGGCAAAACCGCACATTACCCAGATTGACATGGAATCGTTCCCGAAAACTCCCAGTGATGGCCTATCGAACCAGCTAGATCCTGTCTGGCTTGCCAGCACAGGAGGTCCTGAGGTCGGGCTGCAACGTCCACCCAGTTATGAGCGGCTCAACATGCATTGTTATCCTGTGACATGATCTGCAATCCCAGTCCAGTTGTGTTTGGGGCCCAACAATGACTCGACCACAGAAGGCAAACCAGGTGCTGGACTCACAACTAGCTCCAATCAGTATCAGCTGGGTTTTGCGCTAGACACAAAAAAACTCGGACAAAGCACAAAATGCAAACGCTGAATTCGACGGGGTGATGGGAACCCATCGTTGTGGGCCAACAGGGTTATTCTCCTTGATTGCGCAGTTGCTGAGCCCAAAGTGTTGAAGGTCTAAGGCTTTCCGCATTATCTTTTGCCGATCGAAAAGCCAATTTGTTCCTGATGTCTCTTCCTTTCTGTTCAATTGACGAAATGTCAGGCGTTCACATCACATCCCCCAAGCTTCCATTTGCTTAAGCCCGCTGAAAAAAAAACATCCAGTAGTCATAGATCAGAAACCAACAGGGGAAAATAACAACATATTCTCAAGCAAATGGAAGCAAGGTGGGGTGCTTGGAAGTTTTCACGAGTTTCTGGGGCGCCGGGCATATCCAAGCTGGCGCCCAAGGCCTTCCGTGGGAGGTTGCAACAAGTGACCTTCTTTGCGCGGGCCAGACCGCCATTTGGGGGTGGGTTCGCTGGTGTTCGCTTCCTTTCAACCTGCCCTTTTCGTGCCTTCCGGTGGTGTCTCTCAGGAAACAGAAAGACGCAGGTGCCCTTTGTTTGAACTTTGGTGGCCTGAACGTGTTAAAACCGGGGGGGTGGCACCGATTCTGCTGATCCGAAAGTTTGGCTCGACCTTCCCATCGCGCGGAAAGTCAGAGGGAGGAGCCAAGTTTCGGCTGGACATCGCCTTCCCCGAACCGGGTATAACTTTTCATTGAATTGGCCAACATTGGGCTCTCAAAATGACCGCCTGTAATTCATCTCCAAATGATGAAACGTGTCATATAGGTCGTACCTGATCATCAAAGAACTTGGTAGTACAAAGCCACAAAGGAAGATATGCGGCCACTATTTATGTGCTCTCGTACATATTCAGGTTTCGGATTGCGGCTCACTTGTCACACTGCTCCGGGTGTGAATTGGGCCAATACTCCCGGATGTTCCCCTCCTATCCAAAATACACTCATTTGACGTTGGCTGGAATGGCAATGTTCAAAGGGGCTTGAAGGTGCATACAAAGACGCCCCCTGAAATGGGAAGTGTCTGCCAAGAACAAAAGTGTATGCAACTTCCTGAGTGAAAAAGTCCAAACGTGTTCTTTAACGGCCTTCCCCAAACAAGTTAAAGTCCAGAAACTCAGGAAGTGAAATACAGGGTCCAGTGACCAAGGCCTTCTGGGAACTGTCCACATTGTGAGGCTGGGGGGGGGGGCCTGGACAAAAAACTAATGTATATCCGTCCCTATGCAGTTTCCTTCGGGCAGGCCCAGCCAAAGGAACAGTGCTTGTCGCTGTGCTTAAATAGGGTTGGTGGCCGAATACGGGGTCTGGAAGTTGTTTGTCTGTAAAAAAAACATGATGTCCTCCTGGATTTGCACTCCTGTCAGGTTCTATGTTAATCCTTTGAGGCTTTACATTTGCCAGCCTTATGCTCATATGTCCAGCCGACTTGGAAAAAAGAGCAGTGGGATACCAGAATGGGTATCAACCGGACATGTCAAGGGCAAAGCCCTTGAGGCAGCTATTTGGAGAATCGAGCAGGCGTTTGAGTGCTGTTGCGAAGAAACATCTGAGACCAGGGATCACAAACCGTTTTAGGCGCTGAAAAGAGAAATGTTCAGCACAGAGTGAGAGGGGGTTCGTCTGAAAACAATCCTTTCATCCTGTGGGTTTTTGAAACATGCTTTTGGGGCATTGTCGTCAAACACATCCAAGACACACACACACACAACACCGAGGGCGGGATCCAACAGACTCTTTCAATTAAGGGATGAGCACAACTTAGGAAATTGTGCAACATCCCCTCCCCCCCGAAACAGCCTGGCTTACTGGTGCTCAGCAGGGAATGAGGGAATGAGCCTTATAAACCCTCCCCTATGGTCTCCTTTAGGGGAATCCCCCGGTTCGTCCCATTTCTCATTCTCTACTGACCAGCAAGCCGAGCACAGAACGCACTGGACCCTTCTCGTCCCGCCTTGGCAAGGTCTGCGTAGGCCTGGTTCACCAGCTGCGAGCACCTCGAAAGGACGGTCTGCGAGTCCGGTGTCCAGTGGCTTGGTTGCGACTTGTCGCTTGTTCAGTTGGCCCTTTGGATGGGACCTTTGGGACCTTTTTTTCGAAAAATGGGAACACCCTGAAATGGATTGGACAAGGTCAGAAGGTCATTTCAGGTCGATTCGCTTTGGGCAAGTGAGCTTTAGCCTGAAAACCCTGGAAAGGGGCGGTGGTGCCCTTCGATCAGATGGATTACAACACGCGCCCCTTCTGGGCAAGGGCAGCCAAACCCGTTAGGAAATTCAGCTGATGCAGTGGAAGAATTGCTTGTTGACCCGGATTCATAAAACCCTGTTTACTAATATGGGTTTTGCCCCGTCAAAAAGTGGTCTGAATCCCCGCTAAAACCAGGGACACCCGGCTGACATGCTGCCAAGAGGCCCCCAATAGATGCCAAAGCACTGCCACATCGCATTGGACGCCTGCGCGCAACGCATGCGTTGCGCATGCGCATGGCGCATGCGCATGCAAAAAGGCGTCTTCGTGACATGTGGACGTCCGCCCACAACCAAAGATCACAGATGAAAGCTGGCTTGGCCTTTGGATAATATAAACGCCAGATCGGCGAACCCCCTGGCAAAAACAAAGAAACTCAGGTGATATTCCCAACAGCATGCGGTGCTCTTTTTAGTGCTCGCAACACCCCGCAGCCCTCGCAGTACCTGGCAGTACCTCGTGGAACCCTCGTGGAACCCTCGTGAAACCTTACCTCAGGGCCGCCCCGGACCACCCCGGAGCCTATCTGGGCTGAGACCCCAAAGCTTTCAGCTGTTGGGGAAAAACACTCTCACATACCATGTGCTCAATTGTTTTTCCTTGCCCATCAAATGATTCTTGGTAAAACACAAGGGGCCCGCCACCGAGCAACTGGGGCTTCACCCATTTGCCGCGTCAAGAAGTCTGTCTCATACAGGATTCCTTTCGGGATATCTAAACAAGTTAATCCCGCAAGAGGCAATCCAAGTCATTCACCTTTTCACAATCCCTTGTGCTCCTTTTCAAAATTGAAAAAAGATTGGCCTACTTTGGACTGTGCGAACCATCCCTTTTAGATTATTACCATCCTGGGTACTTGTTTTCGACAAAACTGATACAGGGATCCGGTCAAAAAAAATCCTTTGAGGGCCGTCAAACGGATCATGGCCCCGTGACTCGTCAAATTTCACGCCTCGGCAATGGCCATGTTCACCTGACCGCCAGGTCTCCGAACCGAAGCGGGTCGCGGCTGGAGCTATGCCGGGCCCTCCTTTTGGTTCATCTTTCAAGGGAAACCGAAAGGAAACCAACCATTTCAGGCGACCATGTATTCTGAGAAACACCCAAATCAAGCCACGGCCGAGATTTTGTGCATCCAACCAAATCCAACCTGAAATAAGTTGGCTGGAGGAAACTTGGGGCCCTATCAGTGGAAGGTCTTCAAAAGCCCAAGAAACCTCTGCCAAGAGGTTCCATGATGAAGAGTAGGGGGCAATTGTTTTTGCTCCCTAACAGACCACAAGGACCGAGATCTCATCACGGCGGCGTGAGTTGCAGACATTTTCTGGGTTTGTTTTGCTCGTAAGACGTGTTTGCTAGCAGGGGTTGGGAAGTTCAATAGAACATGGCCACCTTCACTCAGGGAATCCTGGCTGTTCAAGCAGTGGAAGTAAAACCAAAAGGAGGGGTGAAAGATGGAACGGTTTCCACTGGTGTGTAACCAATTTCACAAGTTTGGGGTTTGCGACCTCACCCCGTATCCCTGATCAACACATCAAACAACCAAAAGTCCTTGACACTTGAATCGGGGACTTTGGAAAAAGCCCTGGCTGATCAATAGCCGGCGAACCCCGCTCATGGGGACCAGGATTGATATTATTTTGTATGTGTCCTTCTTTTTTGTTTAAAACAAAAGAAAGAAATAAGGTTTGTCAAAAAATTATACTGGGATTCCTTCTTGTGTCGAAAGTCTCTTTTAGTTGAGCAATCCAGGCGCACGACTCAGTGATTGGGTCAGAATCTTTCTGGGCAAATCGTGATTCACGGCTGAAATAAGGGTTCCTGAGTGGTTCCCGAGCTGCTCTCCAGCCCATCTCAGGTTCACTGTTGACAACCAAAAAAGGATATGTCTGAAGAACTTAAGCTTAAACATCACCCCTCAGCAAACTCACCTTACAGCGCCAAAGATGCTGTTTCAAAAGAAAACAGGGCAAGCTAGTTGCACCCCTGACCAAACGAAGAAAGATTTCAAGGATGCCTTTGAACAACCTGGCAGTATCCCCAGTTCACTTGCAGTGAGCCCCTGAGTAAACCCTTCTCAGGGAAATAGCTACCCATGTTCGTGAGCTATCTTTTTGGTTGCTGGTTAGAGGCACGCCACGACTGGTTACACGCAAACCCAAGGAAACTACCAAATTTCTTACGGGCCTCTTTGAGAAACCTACCCCACCGAAGGCCTCCACCGATTTCGCTCGCCCTCAACAAGGCTCCGCCTTGTAGAGGGAGTGGGCGGCGTCAGCGGCGCACTTCTGCCAGTCGGTGAGGTTCCCATCCCTCAGCTCATGTTATCTTTGGCAAATTTGGGGAATGGCTTCCGTACTAGGAATCATACATTTCGACTGGTTATATACTAAATACCCTTACTATAGGATGTTTTTGCTTCTCTTTTCATATATATATATATATATGGTACCCCCCCCCCCCCATGGACCCTGAATATATATATATATATATAAGACCTCATGGTTATTAAGTATCCTTACCAGGAATCATGTTAAGCTTGAATGGTTGTTGAGGATCCGTACTACCAGGTGGATGACCATCCCCGTACACACCAAGTAAAGGGTCTTTTGCCCATGGCGCAGGTGGTGTCTCGTGTTTAATGTTCGCGTTGTCGCGTTTTATTTATGGTGTGGCTTCGATAGGTATTGTTGCTGTCGTGTGGGTTTCTATACGTGAGTCGATCCCGGTTGCTTGTTGCTGTTTTTTTTGGCGTGTGCTTGTGTTGTGTGATGTCATTTGGTTTGATATGTGTACATGTTTTCGGCCGGATGATTAGGTTTCCATTCTTTGGGTATGCATGCCCAAGACCCACATATTGTGATAGTGCTTTTCTTCCCCGCTGAATTGTGAAGCCATGTTGTAAAAGAGTTCGTCTTAATTACTTAGTAACTTAGTACTTGTTTCTTTTTCTGTGCAAAACTGATCTGAGCGATTGGGATGCTTGCCGAATCGTTGGTCGCTTCCATGAACGGTAGAAGCGCTCAGTCACACACACACACACACACACACACACACACACACCAGCCAGCCAGCCAGCCAGCCAGCCAGCCAGCCAGCCAGCCAGCCAGCCAGCCAGCCAGCCAGCCAGCCAGCCAGCCAGCCAGCCAGCCAGCCAGCCAGCCAGCCAGCCAGCCAGCCAGCCAGCCAGCCAGCCAGCCAGCCAGCCAGCCAGCCAGCCAGCCAAGCCAAAAAACAACACAAAGCAAAACAACAAGAAACAAGGCGAAACGAAATAACACAAAACAAAGCAACACACACACACAAATCATAAATCAATTAACAAGCCAAGCGAAGCCAAGCCAAGCCAGACAAACAAACAAGCAAGCCACACACACACATGGGTACGCTTGAAAACAAGGAGTCTTTGATCGAAAACTCTCATCATTTTTCGGGATCATTCTGTCTCTCCCAATGTGGGTGCGTATTGATGGGAGCAAAGTGTCAACGCGATTCTCACTTGCCCAAAGGAGTTGAAACTACAGGGCTAATCTTTTGGGATCTTGGCCTAAATTCAGGCCGGAGGCCCGTCGCGCTCAAAGGCAAATCACATTCGTGTACGTTCGGGCGTCCAAAACCGGCTTGGCAATACTCACCTGTTGGGTGACTCCCACCTTTAGTCTGAGCCGCAAGGAAACCCCCGCTGGGTTGATACCAGAACACCAGAACACTGTTTGCTGCTTGCTTCCATGTTTCGTGGGCCCTGAGCCTACCAAGGTTGCTGAACGAGTCCGGCAAAAAGGTGCAAATCCGCGAGTTTGGCCAGGGCGCTTCAGGAAGCACTCCAGCTTGGAGTCCGACAGATCCGAGTACATCTGCGCAGTTCAGAAATGACCAATGTCCTCTGCTAGGTCCTCCAGTAGAAAGCTTAGAATAAGGGTACCCGGTCTTTTTCTGTTTCGTCTATTCTAGAAGGGGAACCCTCCCCCAAACAAGGGTAAAAGGGCATTTCTGGGGGACCTAGTCTGATTTGAGGGTCCGAGAAACCCTATGGGTGGCTCCCAAACCCTGCATAGGTGATTTCCAAGGCCTGATAGAAAGCAAAGGAAAGCAAAGGTCAAGCAGTGTCCTGGTGCTCATGTCAGATGCTCAAACACGCACTACAAAATGAAGCATCTACCAGTCATGAGCTTAAAAGCCAGAAGTTGCGCATGCAAATGCAAGCAATTGTGTGTTACCACGGGCACGCACAAATACACATACACGTACACATACACAAACACATACACAGAAACACACCCACTCAACAAATAAACGTTGCATGTTCTCCCAAGTTTGAAGGGCGCCGATGTTTAGATGGATTGCATGGGAAAAGACGGACACCTGCATGCGAACGGCCATGTTTCTTATGGTTCGACGAAAGCCATAAGCCATAAACCCAATCGGTGCAAATCAGCGGCTCCGCTTGCACCGACGGACCGCCTGCGTCATGTCCCCCAAAAGCTGAGCATAGCTGGCGGCACAACCGGCCTTGACCTGAGGCGGAAAGGCTTGGATCACTCCCATTCCTGGCTCCAATAAAGCCTCAGGGCTGCATTCTAGACTCCAGTCTGGGATGAGACAAAGCTGCCCGGCAGAAAAGGTGCCTTTTGCTCCTCATGCATTGTGGAGGAATTCTTTGTACTTTGGGTGGCCCTGGCAACCCCAATGACATAGGGAAGAAAGGTGGCGGACAAGGTGTGAGCAAGGGTGGGAACCCATCATTCCGCCGAAGGGAAACTCCAGGCGACATTCGAAACCTAGCAATTTGGACCGCAGCTTTCCCACCCAGAAAGCGACAAGAAATCTGTCATTTTGCGCCATCCGTAGTCTTAGGAGGGCACCTCCTGATTGAAAATACCCCCAGGGTCTTCGGACCAACTGATCAGGAAAATAATGTTTCCTGCCTTGAGAAAACACGGGTTTTCTTCAGTGACCATGTGTACATGTGTTGGAACGGTGTTCCATGGCATGCAACCATATCGGCCTATGATTCTTGCTGGTTCAATAGGCAGGGAATATTCGTTGGAATGACCATACTAAACCAAGCCAGCGATTCGATTTCTCTTTTAGTTTTAAGGGGTGTTCTATGGCTACTTACCAAAACCGGGTAGTTCGGAAGCATAATGTCTTTGGGGATCAATTCGGCTTCCTTCCCATGGAGCACATATGAAGAGAGACAAGGGGAGACAAGGGGAGACTAAGCGGGAGGAACCCGTCCAACCTTGACCACTCCCCCCCAGCTTCCAAGACCCAGCTAGGCCCGCGCCAATCAGACATTGTCGCCCACGAGGGCTTCTTATTGGGCATGTTGCCAAGTTTGCCGACACCTCTCTCATCAAGAGCGACGTGCTGGCTGGCGCAAGCAACCTTGTTCACGTTACTCTTTGCCACATAGCGTCGCAAAACGATGTAATACCGCTTCTGACATGTGTAAACCGTGCCCTGAGAAATCCCATGTGCGTCTCGCAGCTCTTTCACAAGTGACGGCAAGCTCAGGCTGTTCTTCATGCGCACCGGTCCTCCGTCGCAGAAACGCCAGCGCTGGGGCGTGCAAAGCAGATCGCAAGTGTGCACGGATAATTAGTTGTTGGGTTGTTCCGATGCGGAGGCTGCGTGGGCAGTTCCGAGAATGTTTCTCCGAAGCACCCGGAATCCATGTAAGTACGTAGCCGAAGCGCCTGAGGTGGGCAAGACTCACCACGTGGAAGCGAGCGCGAAACTAGAGTATACATGTATATATATATATTATAATATATATATATATGCATAGTTGTACGTGTACCTGTACATACACGTGTAAGACAATCACCAGCTCTAACAAATATGGCATAACTTGACAAGCACGTGCTTACATCGATGTGTATACACACTTGCAGAAGCGCACAAGCCATAAAATGGGGATAACTAGAAGTATATATATATATCACGCATATTCTATATACATAATATATATATATATGCATAATGCTTGCAATTTCATATCATACAGAGCCGAGTCTAAGCCTTCGGGCCAAGATCTCTCCGTTGCTGTCCTTCCTGCGTCACGGCATCTGAGCGTCGCTTTCCGGGAGAAGAGGGGCTGGACCCCAAAAATGCAACTTACTCTGGGCTGCCCTCAGATCCCCCGCTAAAAGGGACGAACTTTTAGTGGGTTAAATGGAAACTGCCACCAAACACTGAAAAGCTAAGAGGCGAAGGAACCGGATGGCTGGGAGCCACCAAGTGATGGGGTCCGACTGAAACTCGGAAAAAATTGTCCAATGGGAAGTCTCAAGCCCAAGCCAACTCCGAAGGCCCGGAGTCCCCAGCAGCTGGAGAGCCTTTCCCAGGACAAAGAACGCTTAACTTTTGTGCATCCAAAGTATATTATATGGGTGGTGGGAAACCCCCTCTAATGACCATGAGATAATATTTGAGGAGGTCCCTTTATTCAACCAGCAGCAACCGTTTCTCACGCGGCCCCAACTCTGTTTAGCATGGCCGGGAACTGTGCCCTTTGAGTCTTGGAACCGGTGGCTTTCTCTTCCAGGCATCTGGAGGGGAAATGGAAGGGAATCCAGACAATTTTCCTCTTCATTTCCTTCATTTGTCTGGATCCTCTTCCGGATCCAGACAATTCCTCACCAACTGGTTTCCTCTTCATTTCCTCGAGAGTTGGCTTTGTGAAAATTTGGGCCCCAGTTTCGCAAGGCCCATCCTAACCCCCCCCCCCCCCCGACTTTGAGACACCCTGCGTAAGTAACAGAATCGCCGCCAAAATATCCTCACGTGAGGAGTCACTTCCGAGGACCCCTTCTGTCAACTTCAGATCATTCGTCCAAATAGGTCCTCCAGTGTTAGAATAAGGGTACCCGATTTTTCTGTAGTCTATTTTAACAGGGGAACCCTCCTCAAAAAAAGGTAAAGGGGCACTACTGTTGGACCCAGTTTAGATTCTTTCTGGGACATGATCTACGGGGTCCCTCTGACAGAATGGTTTTGGGACCAAATTTGGATGAGAATCCTGGAGGGTAAACAATAGTGAATGGTGGTATGAACCCAAACCATTGTTTTACTGGTGGCATCTGAACCCCGGGGACTGATCAATCCCAAACCGAGGACGGAGAGCTCTCAACAAACGTCCCGCCGAAAGGATCGGGTTTTGCAAGGCCCCCCCTTTCGCTTTGCGCGAGGCAAGTGCAAGAAACTGAAAAGTACCAAACTTGAATCTTACTTGACGGATTAATCTCTTTCCAACAATCATGGACGTGGAATGACGTGGACGGGTCCCCAGAAGGAAAATAGTGCTCCAAAACCCTCCGATCGGTAGGTTTCCATGATTGTTGGACCGAGGAGAATGCTCACGCCTGCTTGCCAAAGCCCCCGCCACTTGCTATCAAGGGGGTCCCTTGTTTGTGGGGAATCCTTTCTTTCAGGGGACCCCCTTCATTAGCACGGGCCAGGAGGTCTGCATCTTCACCGAGCGCAAGGGTCCGACTCACAAGCCCCGCCAGCGAACGGCCCTGTCCTCGCCATCATACCCTGGCTCAGTCGGGAAAGTGACGTGGCCATCACATGAACTTTTATCAGGGAAACATCTGTGTTGGTTGGTTGGTTTTAAGGGGAAACCCAAAGGTAAACCACTGTTTTGGGGGAGTTCTTTCACAAACCATGGGAAAGTCCCGAGATGAAATTGGAGAGATAGTGCTGTGATAGCCACCGTGGCGTGCCTTCGGCGCGAATAACTACAGGCAACAAAAACATGAAACTAACCCTTCCCCCCCCAAACAAAGAAAAAGCAAACCTGTGTGCCCTTACTTCCTAGCATCGGATAGTACAGCATTGGTTTTCTCCTTTGCATCGGTTACAATGTGTTAAGGGCTGCGATTCGTTAAGCGCACCGCAACTCGTTGACACAGGAAAAGCAGGGAGCCGCGCATGGACTTGTTTCGCGTCCTCTAAAAGTAGGCTCGGTCATTAAGAAGAGGAACTCGAGTTGGTGTGAAGATAGCAAATCAACTACACGGCATTCTTCTTCACTGAGTATCGGTTTGAGTATCGGTTCGGGGCCTGACTCAGGAACTTCGGTTTGTATAGCTTCTCCACACGTGGTGCAACTCACCAGAACCAAAGAGTATTTGAACCATTTGTCTTCCTGGCATCTGGGGGTATTGTGCTTTCCTCAGCATCAGGTTTCAATGGTTTGCACCTGCGAAAGAAGTTGCGGGGCAGCCCTGTACACGGTGAAATGCTTTCACTATTTTCACCCAAGTAGATTACCGGATTCCCAAGGAGCCATGTCAATGTGAATTTCTTTAAGTGCCCTCCACATCACAACTACAGCACGTTCAGGGAATCTGGATCACTTTCGGATCAATACTCGCTAAGGTTTGTCTATCCCGGTCGACATTATAGTGTGGACCCAGGAAATCCAAACGTGTCCCTTGCTCTATCAATCTCGAAACCACAACATGTGCCGTTTTTGAGGTCCATTTTTTTCCGATGAAGGTCCACCCTGGGGTTCAAGCCACCATTAAAGCAATGGCCCATAAAACCGCCATTGCTTACCTAAAAATTGTCATCATCCAAATTGGGTTGCTTCTTTTCATGGGGTTTGAACCTAAGGGTCCATGTTTCCCTCCGAAGAGGGTCTCTTCACCTGCCCAGGATGATCGACCAACAAGCCCGCGCCTCCACCACTGGGAACCTGAGCCGGGTATCACGGGCAGGTCGAAATTGCTTCGGAAAGCATCAGGGGCATGCTCAGATACGAGACTCCGAGGAATGAACGCTTGCAATATATGTGTGTATATATATATATTCAGAATATGTATACTTCAAAAGAGCAGCCGTGCCCCTTGTATAAATGGTCCGATGCGCTGGTGCGTTCAAGCCTCCAACTACCTTGCTTACTCACTGATGTGTCATACCGCTGGCTCTGAATCAGTACTGCATACAAGTTGGCAAACCTAGACTAGGTCCTCCAGTAGAGAGGTTAGAGTAAAGTACCCTTTTTCTGTAGTCTATTTTCGTAGAGGAACCCTCCACCAAAAAGGGCGCTACTGGGGCACTTACTGCTGTCTCACGCAAATTCCGCCGAGGGGCTGGAATTTGGCCGCCTGCCACGCGTACAGCAGCACCTTAGCCATGGAAGTGGGTGGAGTTCCAAAGCTACGGCATTGCTTAGCACGCAGAATTGAAACGCATGAATTCATCCGGGGGTTGATCAAAAGGTCTCATGAACATGGGATGACCACAGGTTGGAAACGACTCAACATATAGGACTTTCAATAAATGGGAAAAGTTACTTATGGTCATTCGGGGCCCATGAATATTGATCGACCCCCTATATTGTTTTGATAAGTCATGAACGCAAATGACAGTCCACTCCTGATGTCCAGGCAGCTCGACGGCAAGCACCACAACGAAAGACTCTGAATTCAGGGCCTTGCCTCCGACAGGTTTTTGCAGTCTTCTTGCGTCAGAAAGGGCTGTGCTCTTCGCGGGCACCCACGCCCTATTTCATGCCCACAGGGGTTGATTCCCCATTTGTTTCACTCATCCTTCAAAAACCACTCGTTTCCCCCCTTGGTTTTTTGGATGGCTTCCTGCAAAGATTCGGATCGCTGAAAACCCACTCGTTTCTTCGGGCTTTTCGATGGTTTCCTTCAAAAGACAGGACAGAGTGGGCATGGATTCGCCTCCTGTCCCACCCCCATGCGCCACTTCCATTTGCTTAAGCTGCCTGGAAAAGATAAGAACATATTTCCAGTAGTGATCGATTCCTTTTAGAACCAACAGGGGAAATAGAACCAACAGGGGAAAATACAACAGATCTTCTTCAACAAATGGAAGGCCACCGCTCCAAAATTTGCCGAGGCGCAGAGCTGAGGTAGCTCAAAGACCCGTCCGTGCCGCGTTGCATGCCTCGGCGAACTCTGCCCATGGCGTCTGTGGCCTCTGTGGCGTCTGTGGCTTGCCCAAAGCACTGGGATTGGACACCAGCGAAGCGCTCATTCAATGCCTGGAGGAATGCCTCACCTGCCGGAAGGACCTGGAAACAAAAGCTGATCGATCTCACCTTTTGGCGATCTCACCGTTTGGGACCATGACGAAAAATGGGCCAAACATGGGGGAAACATGGGGAAACTAACAGGTCAGAAAGGTCGGCTTTGGGCAGTGAGTAACCCAAAGCCACCTGGAAGTCCGACTTTGAGAACCCACGTGTCCGGCAAAACTTGCTGATGCGAGAGATGAAGGGAATGAGAAATGGTTTCTGACCCCGGAGAAAAACCATGCAACTGGGTTTCCTTTACGGGGAGCCCTGGGTTCATTACATTTCTCATTCCCTACTGATCGCACCAGCAAGAAATTCCTTTCGGTCCATTTCCTACCAGTAATTTGGTGATTGTGTTTACTCCCATAAATGACAGTAGAGCCTGCCTGATGCTAACAGGTGTTTGTGTTTGTGTCTTAAATTATAGTTATAGTGGGGGCAGCCCCCCTCCCCCCACAAGAAACGCCTCAAGTGACAGGAAATTCAGAGCTGCTACCCCCGAACAGAAGCCTTCGTTCGGGTTCACCCCCTTTATGCGGAGGTATGGGGAACCAGAGGAAAACCAAGCGGAAACAGCAGGAAAGTCTTGGAGCTTCGAACTTCACCACAAACAAGGAGCCTTTTTGGTGAAGAACATCCCCAACCAACACGAAAAGCACTGTAAAAACCTTCAGTTGGCTCAAGGTCGATTCCCCCCAAGCGGTGAGGTCGTTTCCGAGTGCCCCTGCGGGCTTTGATGTCGTCCGTCAGCGTCTTCTCGTCGTAGGCATCCCTGCCCCGTCTCACCGTCTCACCGCTTCCAAATGGATCCCCAACTTATTCCCCTTCCAAACGCCACCCTACCCAAAGAAAGCCCATTGAGCATTGGCATTGCCAACAAATAATCATTTGAATGATTGCTGGATGGCCGACCGGAAGGCTGAGCTTGCGTACTGAGGAAACGCTGGATTTCCCTGAACTTTCCAACCTATGGGTGTGTCTTATTTTGAGGCACCCTTCCAACAAAAAACCATCAAGGGTTACCCAAGACAAAGACAGACCCACAGAAAGGGACTAGCCGGCCTAGCGTCAACGTGTGTTCATTGGCTCACAAAGGTGCGCAGCCTGAATCCTTGAATCATCCTTCCGCAGTGAAATGAAGTTTATTCCAGAAATCATGAAGAAACAGCACACCTAGGGCAGGCGAGTGAAAACCGTGAACTTGCCGAATCATGTCCTCGGTCGATGAACCAAATAGACCCGCAACAGCCGTGTAGCCTAAGCAGCAAAGAACTTCATAATCCTGCCAGAGCCAGGCAGCATACAACACCAACAACAGGGTGCCACCGGTGCATAAGCCACATTTAAATAACATATGGGGGCGTGGGACGAAGTCAGTTTTGGTAGCGGACGTATTGACCGAATCTGAGATGATAAGCCTCTTAGAGCGGTACACCAGTGGGTTTTCAAATGTGGACCCGAGCTGCATGGGTCTATCCCGGAAAACGGAACACGGGTGCAACACACATGGTCGGCTTCATTTTGGATTCAACAAACCAACAACTAACACAACACACCGTGTTCCTGTGAGACAGTTGTGAAACCTGTGGGTGCTCCTTCTGAACTCAAGGAGGGCGCGACATGAAAAAGAGTTCGCAGTTGTCCTAAAAACTAAACACACACTCACGACCCTTTGTTGGGTACACTGTTTTTTATATTCCCAGTCTCCAAGCAGAACTTGGAAGGGGGGGTTCAGGTGAGAGCCATGTTGCAAAAAATACATAAATCCGCCTTTCGCTCCCCTCAACCTTTGGGTCAGCGAATCGAACGCGCCTGGCGTAGCCAATGATGACAGGCCAGGCCCAGCTGCTGTAGGTCTGACGGCTAAAAATAGACCCAGTTTGGCACATAGAAGTCGAAAGCGCGCGTGTTTCATATATATATATATACATCTATGTATATATATATATATATATAACACTGGAAAAATACAGGTCAAACAACATCTATAACACAGGACAAATACAGGTCAAACGAACCAAACCAGGGTCCATGGGGGGGGGGGGGGTAACTACCGTATATATATATATATAACTTGAAAGTATACACCCAAGTGGAAAACAACTTCTGATTCTATTGATGGTCGAGCCTGCGTTTAACTATGCACTTAAACGGGTTGATTTGGCTCCCCTGCTATCACTTCAAAAAGGCCTTTGGGTGCATGTGGGTTTGTCTCAAAACGGGCGAGGCCCAAAATGGGCTTCGGTTTTCTCTTCAGTTCTCATTACCACCATCCAACAAAATTACACCCTTCAACAAACACACACACACACACACAAACACCAATTTTCTGCCACCACCCTTTGTGATTGTGATAAAGGGAAACCAAAGTGACAGAACATGAAACAGCGCCGCCCGACCCACAGACTGCCGGTCCAACCATGTTCAAAACAGAGTATCCGATAAGAAACATCGCTTCAGAGTGCTGGTTCTCAGTAGGGAATCAAGAAGTGTCTTGGGAATGAATCTGGGGATCTTCTGTAAGGAAGCCGCAAGGGATGGTTGGTAGGGGCCATTCCCTCTGTTTTTGTTTGCATTTTCTCTGAGAAGCAGCAAGTCAAGGACTGTAGGTGGGAAAGTTGGAACAGGTCTCAGTCCTCAAAGAGGGCTATTCTCAAGCACCAGGCCACCTCAGCCCGCCGTCTTGACTACGACCTGGGTAAACAGGGGGTCTGGAAAAACATAAAACTTGCAATCCCCTTTTGGTTTCCTATTGGGAAAAATCATAGTACGTTACAAATCATGAGCTATTCAGCACCCAGCAACGGTGCGAGCTGCGGACAGGTTTCTGGGCGCCTCAAAAGAACATGCCTCAACATGTGGGCCCGGCTCGGCTCCCAATTGCTGTAGTTGGAGTTAGGATGATTCGGCCCCCCATGTGCTGCGTCTGCGAAATGAATTTCACGCACATGGCAACGCCTTGAACACAAGCAAGCCTCAATACTGGGTTGGTGCTGGAGTCTTTTGGGTAAGCTGTTCAAATAAATGATCGTGCCCCCCAAACAACCATGCAAGAGAAAACACATCTTATTGTTGGTCGGCCACCGTTGTCAGGCTAAGTGATCAGTCTGCAGTACTTGTTTCCATTTGTGCGTGAGGGAGATATACAACAAGAAGCAAAGAGAGAGAGAGAGAGAGAGAGAGAAAGAAACAAAGAATTAAATAAATAAACAGAAAAGAAAGAAAGAAAGAGAACGACAAACCAAAGAAAGAACCAAAGAACAAAAGAAAACAGAAAGGAGTAAACAGAGGGGCAAAGAGAGAGAGCGAGAGATAAAGAGCGAGAAAACAGCTGGTGCGCCAGTTGGCAGGGGGGTCTGCGCTGGGTCCTGAAGGGACCTTCTGAGTTCTAGGTAAGTAGGCAGGAGGGCAGTAACCCGGGCAATAAACCATTTGCTAGGCGGGTTATCATCAGGATTCCTATCCTTAAGCAGCTTAAGTGAGCATCAGCCAAAATACATCCCCCTTCTACCAGAATGGGTAGAAACGGTTAGAAACGGTTGGAAACGGTTATAATATTGGCCCTACTGGCCAGCCCGCAAAGCAAGCATTTGACCCAGCTGGTAAACATTGCCAAACAATTTGTTGCCCTATGAAAAAAACGTGAGGATGGTTGACCTTACAAACCCGTCTGCAAAAGAATGTGGCTGATCCACCTCCTGCCACCATTCCGGCATCTACCCTCAGCAAAAAACCTCAACGAGCCCGATTTATAAGCCACTGCGGGTTCTGAGAAATGCCCTCCAAATCATTTTGCTAGAGGACTCTGATGATTATGTTTCATTTAAAAAAAAAAAAAACACATACACCCGGCCATGGAAAAAAAATCTATGCCACCCGGCCATGGGGTTCAGAGTGGCAGGTTGGGGCTGGGGACTTTGGCATCACGCCTCCAGCTTCAGCAGCACGTCCTGCGCGATGGTGGCCTGGCGTGCCCGACGCGGACAGCACGGGCAAAGAATCAAGGAAGACAGACAGACAAACGGACAGACTGACAGACAAAACAGACAGGCAGGTTGACAAACAGAGAGACAAACAAACTAATTGGCATGGCGAGCAACGGAGAAAACAAACACGCCAACTAAGAACTAAACAGGACAACAAGCACAACTAGAACAAACAAACAAACAACATACACCCAATCAAGGCAACATGAATATTACGCAACTAACAAGCACACATAAAGCAAAATACCAAATCAAAGAAGCAAGCAAGCAAGCAAGCAAGCAAGTAAGAAAGCAAGCATCGAAGCAAGCACGCAAGCAAGCAAGCAACGAAGCGAGCACGCACGTGCGCGCGCACGCACGCATGCATGCAAGCAAGCAAGCAAGCAAGCAAACAAGCAAGCAAGCAAGCAACCCAACACACACACACAAACAAACAAACAAACAAACAAACAAACAAACAAACAAAGAAAGAAACAAACAAACAAACAAATAAACAAACAAACAAACAACCAACACACACACAAAACATACCTCCAACCAAGCAAGCAAGCAAGCAAGCAAGCAAGCAAGCAAGCAAGCAAGCAAGCAAGCAAGCAATCAAGCATTAGTCATTATTGGATTTAATGATGGTTTCTTGGTGCAAGCGCAAAGGAGACTGGAATCAAGCCATGCCTCATGAAACTGCGTTGTTTACCATAATATAATTCCAAAACCTGACGGAAGGAATCTTCAAGCAAATAAGCAAAGGAGCTGCAACATGGTAAGCTTGTTTTCCACGTGGCGAGCTCGCCATGCCACGATAGGGGGACCTGCAAACATGTGGTTTCCTTTTGGTCTCCCATCAAACCTGCCAGAAAAGAGTACTTCCAACAGAAGCACGGACATGTATTCTTTTCTTCAACTTGCAAGATGAAGCAAACTCATTGTGCCAAATTGTGCCACGAGCTCCATCGCACTTAACACCAACGGACGGCTGACAATCTTTGCACCCAGATGCATGTTTGATGGCAGGCGCAAAATAGGTCGAACATTTTGAGCTGGGCAACCTGGGTGTTGCGATTTGATGAACTAATTCCTTGGCAAGGTCAACGTTCCACCTTCAACACGTCAAACAAAAAGCCAAGGGCTATGACCGCCCAGGCCCTACGCGGCAAACTGTTAGGCCACTCTGAGCTCCAAGGAGATGTCACATGCAGGGACTCTGTCGAGAAACAATGGAAACACGAAACAAATACTCCGTTTGGTAAACTTTAAACAGGACCCTCGAGACAACAGAGATGGAAGCAAGCAAATGGGTGTGGGTCAAAATTAAGCTGGGGTTCCGCAGGTTCTCTACCTTTCCATATACCAAGGTTGCATTTTGGACCGATTCTTGTCTTTGAGCCACAGATTGTACTCTGGTTGACAAAAACTCAAAGCCCCCAACCCTCGCGGGAGCCCAACGCCTGTGATGCGTTGGAAGGCCGGTTGTCCCTTTCAACTGCTGAGCTGTTGTCCTCGGCGAGTGGAATCATGTGGGCGCGTGGTTGTGTCACTTTGGTTCTAAACTTTACCCGGTTGTGTTGGCCAGATTGCGTGAAGAAACTTGTTGCCTGCCACCAGCATGATCTTTGCAACAAGTACAACAGTCCAGGCACTCAAGGAGTGAGAAAGTGCGTCTGTATACAGCCGTAAGAGCAAAACAGCACAGAGGGGTAAACAAATGAGCCTCCTTAACACGTAGGTTGAATAAATTGTTCACGACTACCCCGACTACCCGTCGACTACCCGGGATCTGATTGTGGTTCCGCTCAAGTTTGACCTGGCATTTATAACCAAACAAAGGTGGCCAAGCTAGTGGCATAAATGCGCAGAGAAGGAACCGTCTCCTAAAATTGTGCGTGCTGTGTTGTGTTGCCACGCATTAGACACACACACACACACGCACACACACACACAAACACGGGCAATGTCTCATTTTCCCATAGTGGAGTGTTTACACATGCATCGCCCATTGCCTTCCCCCTAGGTGTAGGCACGGACATCCGGGCGGTTCAATAGAGGGTCAAAAGAAATCGACAAATCATCCATTCTCTTGTGGTTGCAAAGGCTGTGCTTGACCCGCCAAACGCACGTTTATCTCCCAGGATCTCCAAAGCGCATGGCCAAACAGGGGCGCCTCCAAAAAACAAAATGGCCTCCCTCTGCCTAAAAAAATAGAAGTCCCAGAAAGTCGTCCTGTTCCTTTTTCGGCGCAAACAGGCAACTGACAGTTCCAAACACTAACGGTTCCCCCCTGTCCCCCTTGTCCCTTGTTGGATCCGAGTGGCGCGTGCCCAGAGCAGCTTGGGCACTACCTACAGAAGATTCCGCCCCACACTATTAATGTGAACCCCGGATTAATAAACCGTTGATTTTGATTCGGGGGGTGTCCAATTCCTTTTAGTGGGGATTCATCACTTGTGGAGGGAACACCCCTGGGTCAACATTATGGTTGTGCCTTTTGGGCCCTGCCCTTTGCGAAATGTGTTGGAGGTATCTTCCGTCTTCAGCAGCAGCAGCAGCAGCAGCAGCAGCAGCAGCAGGGTAGCACAAAGCTCCGACGCAAAGTCTTCAGCAATTGTAGCAGGAGATCAGCGCCAAGAATTGCCCTGTGCGAGGGGGTTCCACTGGTTCCTTGGTATCACAAGCAGCAGCAACCCACCCCTGTATTCCAAAACAATGTATTTCATGAAACAATCCAAGGTACAAGGGTCACTGAGAAGTGTTTCAGTGAGGTTGCAAAGAGATTCCCTTCAGGCAACTTATCTTGTTCTCCCCCTCAGGGGTGTGGATTTGTTTGTTCCGTGAGACCAAAATGGATTCCCATATCCCCACGGCCACTTCATCAAGGGGATTCCTTGGCGTCACAGAAAAGACCCTGAACACCAGCATGCTTCGCCCTCCCTATTGCACAAAACAGGGACACCTCTCTAGAAGCCTCGTGTGAGAACGTGACGCACTACCCACACGTTGGCCGACTCAACGCTGGGACCTGGGAGTGACCTGATAGAGTGCAATGGTACGAGGGCTGACTATGCGCCCGTGCATATTTGCCCCTGGTCCACTGCTATTCCCCTGGCCAATATGGTTGCATGCCCTCCTTTTGCTCTTAAGTCCCCTAGAAAAATGCGAGGAAAACAAACACACATTCCAGTAGTGATAGATTGTTTGAAAGGCAGCAGGGGGAACATATGCTTAGCCAAATGGTTGCATACCATTCACGAATGAAGTTCATAAGTCGGGTAAAAGGGGAAGGAGTGACCCCGAGCTCGCCGTGAGAGAGACGGCCTATGCGGAATCAACCCATAGAGGGAAACCAGAACCCCAAAGCAGGGATTCAACGGACACCCACCTGCCAGGACGTGTTCAAGGGTTTATGCCCTGTTTCTGCGTTTTTTTCCTGTGGGGGGGTCGTTGTTGGGCCTCCTGCGCCTACGAACCTGCCTTATCCAGCAGCTTCCGGATGTCTGTGGCCATCTCCAGCCTCAAGAGGAATGGAATTGAGTGGACCCTTGGAAGCTGTAAAAGCTGATCATATGGCTGTGGCTCAAAAATATGTACCCAAATGGCACCTTGGTAAATGGAGCCAAAGACAAAAACCTGCGTAACCTTAGCTCTTCAGGTTTGAGCCATACCCATATGTTGAAGGGGCTTTGAGACGGGCAAAGAAGTATATAAAAACCTATACACAAGAAGTGTCCGAGGTAGTGGTACCACCTGGGCCTCACCCAAAACAACGAAAAGGTGAGTATTGACCTACGGTACACCTGGTTCTCAGGTAGGGATGAAGCTGTGGGAATGAATCCGGCTCCTTAAGCTCCTTCCGGCATAAACGTTGCTTGGACCGGAATGAACCCAACTGAAGATAAGGTGGCTCAACCGACCTTGGCTGAACAAGTACGTTGCTTGGACCTGAAATCGAGCCTTGGGGTCCTTTGTGTAACGCAACGTACCAGGACGCGGCGCCCCTTATCTCTCTTACCCAGAAGGACCCAAACATGAAAAGTGATCACCGTTTGGGGCCGTTGCTAGACATGGACCAGACTAGGAAAACACGGTCAAGAGGTTCGGCCGTGGGCCGGCCGTGCCGAGAGCCTCGCATCTCTTTGCTGCTCGTTGCCGCATCCTTCTCGGTGACCTGGAGAATGAGCCGTTGACGCTGTCGGCCGTTGACACGGAAGAATGTCACGGTGCCTTGCCCCTAGGGTTGAAAAGATGACAAGCCGCATTGTTTGGTGTTTTGGCAAAGACACTCATATTCAAGGTCTTGGGATCCTATCCTTTACTCGCGTACAAGCGTTCATGGAAGGAACCAAAACAAAGGGGTCCCCCAATCCAAAAGAGTCGGATCCACGAACTGATTTTCTGGGCTCCATGTTGATCTGAGAGTGACTAGAGCCCCTTTCAGCTTGCCGTAAACGGAAACCAAAAGGACAAGCTCCTTTTTTGGGTCACCTCAACCAGCAAATGGCAAGCAAAATTGACCGGTGCTTGTCTGAACCCGTTGTTCGACCCGATCCCTTGCAAACCAGGGTGGGTCAAGCTTTGTTTGACCGTGTTTAGAAAATGACAAACATGTTCCACACACTGGCACAGCAATATTTTGGATGCACCAAGGTGGTCTGAGAACTGAACTCTCTTTGTGAGCTCGAATTAAACCAGAAGCTGCAAGGCTTTTTGCTGCTTTTGCTATGCTGTCGTGTTTGGAGCCCTTTGATCTTGCCTGTGCGCGTATATTTTAGGTGTTCAGATTCCTTGCAAGTGCACTCCCAAGCTAGTGTTCCAAGGCCTGGGTATGATTTGGAAGCAGGTTTTCACCAACCATCCCAACCCCCCCCCCCCCTCAACAACATGTGGGCTGACTCAAGCCATTTAGCCAGTTTGGCTGAAGACTTGGATGTGTCAGTTGCACACTAAGGAAGCGCTTCTTCCCACCTCCAACAACCTCACTCTCGGAAGCGTCGGGGTTCTTCAAGGGACATGTCTCACGGGACTCTTCAAAGCCGAGCAAAGGTTCTGCCCACCCTAGGCGATGTTCGCAGCCATTGGAAAGGCGACTTGCCTGCGTATCGTGTTCTCAGAGCCAACTGGCAACTACCAAAAGTGTGAAGCAACTCTATACCATATGGGTGTGTCGTAAGAATGGGTGAACCCCTATGCATGGTGGTTTTCCATTTTCCCCATTGAAACCCAGGAGTCAACAGGACCCATGGAGCCCGGATCTCAAGTGCCAGGAATGTCAGCGACCGTTGCTCACATAGGCGTCTTTGGAGCAAATGGATGCAATGCTAACCAACATGTTTCGTTTCAAGCCTTGGTAAAACTACACCAAGCTAGCCCTTCTGCCGCAGGCATTGGGGAGTTTGTCTTTTTGACCACTGGGGCCCGCCGAAAGGCTGGCTGACCTTTGTTACTAGAAGGTTTGCGACCTCAACAAGTGCCCTTTTGAGGTATCGAGACTCTTGGAGCTCCAAAACCAAAGGAATCACGGCGTCTCCGCGAAGAGACCCCAAAAAAAGAAACACCGCCGGCGCGGCCACGTCCGCTATGCGCTGGAGGTAGGTGTCCACCTATCGACGAATCGATCGCTCGCAGACGCGAGAAGGCGAGTTCCGTAGGCTGAAAGCTGCACGCCAGATCCACTCTGTAAGTGGAGAAGCTTCAGCTTTGGGACCTTGACCCAAAACAAACGCGGAAAGGTGAATTGGGTTGGCGTTGGGCTGAGAATACGGGACCCCAGCTTGGGATAGGGTAAAGCTCATGGCCACTTGTGAGCCAACATCCACCAACTGGGAAGCCAACACCTTGACAAATCTACGCGAAGTACTATCCTGATTATGAGTTGTCTCCATATCATCATGGAGCCTGGAAAAAACTGTTTTTACTCACGACCGGATCCGAATCCAACAAAAAATCCAACAAATCCGGGAAGGAAAGAAAACAAAAGAACGGACCACTGGCAAAAGGGCCCTTTTCGGAATTGGCGTTGAAAAAAAAAACTGCCAAGCCCGGGGACCGAGTGGATTTCACTCCATGGCCTGTCTAGGAAAATAACCCTGGACAGTGTGGTTGTCCAAGTTCCTCTCAGTTGCTTGTTGGGGATGCAGAAATAAAAGGTTCATCTTTTGGGGCGATGACTAAAGATGGACGAAGGGGAAACCAAAAGGTCAAAAGGTCGGCTTTGGGCAAGTGAGTCCTGCACTGTGATACGTTGGGGGCCGGAAAGTAGCAGCCGGGCGATTTTGCGTGGGCAGGTATTTCACGTGTCGCCCGGCTGAGACGGCAGCATGAACCAGAATATGGGCTTGTTTTATGTTGAGGGTGCCCTTGTCAGGTTGGTTCACAGGGAAACCAGCAGGAAAACCACATCTTTTTTGGGGTCCCCTAGTTTGAACGCATCCCCCGGTGACATAGGAACTTGGAGAGTAAACCCCCCTGTTGATGGCAAATTGACGAGTGCTCAGTCATACCGTGTGCTCAGTCATACCGACTACAGCAATGATGCAGCAATGACTACGCGTTGTTCATCCCAAATTTTGGTGATATAAGGGCCCGAAAAATTTGAGGCGGGCTGTGGTGATCATAGGAGTAAACTATCAACAATACTTATTTGGGCCACTATGTGGGAGTTTTTACCCATGTTTACCCTCCGAATTCAGTGCTTGCACTGTGTGGGGTTTGCATTGCATCAAAGTAGGGCAAGCCCTAAAACACTTGATTTACCCTTGGTTTCCCTTTACCCCCCCCCCCAAAACAGATGAGTTTTGTATGATGCCCCTTTAAACCCATGCCCATATATATATATATATGCACATATATGCTATTCGCCCCTCAGATCCATGGGGGGGGTGGGATGCATACATAAATATGTAATATACCAAACACAAAACCATCTGACCCCGCGCCTTGTCGCTCACGAGATCTGAGGCGCTGTGCAGCGGTCCCGCCACCAAGTCCTGGACGACCGCGATCGATCCCAGCGAGCCGACGATCCGTGTAATTGGAGCCTGGGAAATGGAACCAAGGACTAAAACCAGCCTGGTGGTTTAATGTTGACCCATACCCATGTCAATTGACATACCACGTATAATTGACATACTGTGAGATCTGGCAAATACCTGGGAATCCCAAGGTGTGTAAAATTTCAGCCTTTTGAACGAAAACTGCTTTTTCAGTCTGGGAACATGAATTTCTGCCTCCAGGCATTTTTGGGGGAAACTGACTTTTTGCAAGGTCAAGCTGGTCGACTGATTTTTACCAACGGCGTTTTTCGCCAATCAAACGGCGTTTTTTGGCGATCAAACGGCGGTTTTGGCCGTTCACAGCAGTCCTTGAATATTGACGAATTGCCCCAACGGCGTTTTGGGGGACAAAAAGCGTTTTGTTTGCAGCAACGGCGAAAAATAGTGCAATTTCAATCAGCGGCAGAAATTCAGCACCGCCGGGCTTTCCAGGTATAATTGACATACTGACATACTGATCTGCAAATTAGAAAGAATTCAGTATGTCAACTATACTGAGTATGCCAGTATGCCGTATAGAAATATACTTGATATGATTGAATTCTAATTCCCCGCAAAGCAAGGGAAAGCACACCACTATCCCCAATTCCCAGCATTACACGGAAACCTTCCACTGGAGGTCCCAAGGCCCAAATGTCTGCAATTTTTACCATAAATCCAAAAGCTTAGTTCCGGGATTATCAAGTAAAGGACCTTTATCATGGTGAGCTCGGTATGCATTGCTTTATCATTCTGGCTTCAGATAGCTTCAGCATCGATGGAGTCTACTCTGTGTTGATGGGATCGGAAATATAATTATACTCGCTCCAAAGTACTCGGCAAAAGGGCTACCTGGGAACCTGATAGTTGATGCATTTGTTTGGTGGGCACACAGTCCACAAAGGCGAGTCCCTCTTTGCCTGAACAACGAATCCTTTGCATATTCTGACAGCCACTCTTCAGCAAACATGCCTTCCTGCACAAACCTTTGTCAGAGCGCCCTCATGTTGAATGAGGGCATCCTAAGAAACTTGGCGCCTCAAAACCGGCCAATTTTGAGGCAAACATGTTGCCCTTCCAAATGAAGATGCCTCGCTCACTATGGAGGGTCCATGACTAGGGATCCCGAAAGCCGTCACGTTGCAACAAGAAACCACAAGCTTCAACCCCCACTAAACGATTGGCAAGGACCCAACTTCCATAATACCCCTTAGGAAAAAAAGGTGGCAACTGCCTGCACCCCAGCTGCGCGCCATCCACAGCGCCTCAAACTTCTGCTTCTTCTCGAAGTCCATCTCCTCCTGGCGCTTGGAGCTGACGGCTGGCGGAGGCGGCTGACGGCCCTGGGATCCTCTGGGTACGACGACATGGGTATGGGTGAAAATTAGACCACCGGGTCTACGGCAGTTTTTGATCATTTCCCAGGTTTCCATTGTGGCTACCTATTTCTCACCCACCAAATCTGTATAACGCGCGACCACGAAATGAAACCCATGATGGAAAGGAAATCCATGGCGAGCTTGGCAGCATACCAAACTGACCACACATACCAGCACCCAAGAGTTGTCACTTGGCCCAAAATGCAGGAGAAATGGACGCCACTTGGAGGGTGCAGGGTGGGAAATCATAAAAGTTGCCCACGGCATTTGCCAGGGAATCGAATGACTCCCGGGTTTCTTAGGAGCGATCGGGTTATGTCCCACATGATAACAATGGCCCCATGACCGTGGAGAAGGGGCACGGTTGAGGTTTGGACATCAGTTGGGGCGTCCCTTTGACATTCACAGCCGCAAACAGCGCTGAGACTCGCCAGGGCCGGGGTCAAGTTGCAGGGCCCCGAAAGGCCTAGAAGCTGCTGGCTCTTGAGAGCCTGGTGCACCAAGACGAAACCAGTACCAAAAAACCCACCAACAAGGACCGACGAACTGAAGCCTAAGAGAACCGAAGAGGACCCAAGAGAGCCGCAAAGGATCAATGTTACACCACTACTACATAAGAGGCTACTTGAAGGGGACCTGATCTGGCCGCAGATTGTGTGTTCGGTTTGCCTAACTTGGTCCGCAAATTGTGAATGCCGCTCCAAGTTGCTCAGGGCCCACATTACCAACAAATGTTGCAAATGACTCACTCGTGTGTGTGCGTGTGTGGCTCTGCAAATGGGGAACCATTGCGGTTTGCACCCAAATTCCGTTTCAAACTAGCGCGAAAGGGGTGCCTTGTCAAAAGCACAACAAAAATACGTGCACCTGGCCCAAAACAGACCAAACAGGGTACCAGCTCCTCCCACTTGGCCTAACTAAAGCCGCGGAGACCCCAACAGCACGACGCGGCAATCGCAACCGACCTGCACATTTTGCAATACTCCCCCAAACCCGAAACCACGGATCCCCAAAAGAACCTTGACCTTTCGCTTCTTCCGAATCGATGGGTGCCGAAGTCGACTCGTGTTTTTCCAGTGTCGCCCACAAACTAGTGGCTGTTCTTTTGTCATGCCTTATTAGAAACGCTTCAAAAGCGGGTACCGACTCAACGAAAGCAACCGAATCCCCAAGTCCGCGTCCGTGGCGAAGGCTTGTTTGCTGAGCTTCAGCGGCAGCGGCGGGGGCGCAGGGGGCAGGTTGGAGGCTGAGCCCACCTGAAGCCAGGGAAATCAGGGCTTCTTCTGGGGCTGAACAACTACGTAGAAGGGGCGAATGGGTACTTTAAACTGGGAGGGCACTGGATTTCCATTTCAAAAGTTGCAATTCGCTGAAACTGCCACTTTTGGAGCAGAAAGCCAGGTTGAAGACAGGTTTGATGACCATGGTTGCCAAAGGCTAGCAATTATTTAGCCCCTCATGTTGGGGGGTTGGAATTCCTTTTAATGGCCAGTTAGGAAGAAAAGCGCAAGTTATGACTCAATTCTGAGGGGGTACTTGACTAGGTAGGTTGTAACCAGGGTCACTGGTGGAATATCTCCCCCACCACCTAAGACAGCCTGAAATGATTCCCCTGCAAGTATCAACCAACCATGGTTTCATCGGCGAAGCGGAAGCTGGTCGACGCAGCTTTCTGGCGGATGCTGCTTCGAGCTGACTTCTGCTCTTAAGACCCAAGGCCTGGGGTCTGGCGACATGGGAGTGATTTCCAGCGGGTCAACCCCTGACAGGTGGAGCCAGTCTGATGACGCACAAGTTTTCGGCGCGCAGAGTGCAGCGAACAACTTTATCAACACTCTCACAGCTCTTTGTTTCATATGGAATCACGCAGTTGCCTCACCCAGTTCCTGAATCGGGCGCTCCACCCACATGGCGGGCCACGCTTCTTGTCCCAGCTCCAAGCCTTCCTCCAGAAACCCCACGTCGGCCAGCTCCGGCACAGCCAACTGGCGAGCCCTGCTTGCTCTGGTCATACGTCGCTTGGAGTCGCCACTGCACGGGAACAGCATCGCTACCAGCCTGGGGGCGATGCTGGAACGGCGGCAACGACACTCTGGGCTGACAACTAAAAGGCTGTGCGGATCTCCCAAACCGCGGGTGAGAGAGGGTGCACCTCTCAAAACGCGTCGTTAATCCTCGAATAGATACTCAAATCTTGTTGCCAGTAGCCATGGCAAGGCGAATGCTCACTTCCTGAGTTGATGGTTCAAAAACAAGTCCAAACGGTTTGGTTGGCAACAAAATGGTCCAACCCCAAAAAGGCCAAAGTTCCGGAACTCAGGAGGTGAGATGTAGCCTTGGCAAGGCTAATTCCTGATGATGCAGCTTTGCTTCTCTTCGATCGGCAGACGAGCTTGGCAGCAAGCCGAAAGCAACTTGACGGCATTTGCCGGCATTGATAAACCAAACTGACAACACATAACTGGGCTGTGCTCACAACCCCCGCTAAAAGTTTACATTTTAGTGGGTTAAACTAAACACTGAAAAACTACAAAGCTGCTGGCAGCCACCAAGATAAGTGTGTGTCTTGTTTAGGGGACAAACCAAAATTGTGGTTGTCCTTGTTGTGTCCCTTTAAAAGCCACCCAAGAAGGCTACCCCCGAGAAGAGACACATTCAAGGTTGTTATATAGCCCTGAACAGGAGACTATAAGGTTCCACCCCCCCCGTCTTTGGGGCGTCTCATATATATATATATATTCGCTGGAAACCCCCAGGCCAACATCGATCTGTGGCTGCCGGCGCCCAGCAAAGTGGCCAGCAGCGAAGTCAACTTCATCGACCTGTGAGAAGTGGAACCTCCGAGATCAAACCAAGGGGGCACCGCCATTTTTTTTGGCCAACATACGTTATATGCATGTATATATGTGTATATGTATATACACACGCATGTATGTATATATGTATTGTATGTATGTATGGATGCATGCATGCATGCATGTATGTATGTATGTCTGCATGCATGCATGCATGCATGTATGTGTGTCTACGTCTATGTCTATGTGTATGTATCTGTATATGCATGCATGTACGTAGGTAGGTAGGTATGTATTTATGTATATTTGGGGGGAACCCCCTCCAAAGGATGGTTTTCTTTGTGGTTTCCAATTGAAACCGCAAAACGCGGGTACCATGAACAAATGACAGGCCCGCATGGGATTGATTCTGTTTGCTATCTAGTGAACCTGGACTCACTTGCCCGAAAGGCCTGGAAATAGAAGCTAAAGGTCAACAGGTCGACTCGCGTTGAACAAGACAAGAGTAGCAAGTGAAACCATTTTATCACGGATCAAACAAAAATGACATGGCTGTGAAAATGTCTGGCTATGGGGTTATCTATATATATAGACATGTGTATATGTATATATATATATATGTGTACAACCGGGTGTATGTATACCCTTTATGTTGTGGCTTTGTAACTGTTGTATAGTCCATTCAATCTTTTGGGGGTAAGCGGGGTAGTGGAATGCATCTTGTTTGATACCCTAACTTTGAGGGGGACAAGTATGAGGGCAGAAGACCCTCTGAAACCTGGTTCAAATCCCAGGCTTACCTCACTGTAGCTCCAGCCAGGCGACAAAAACACACAGAGACCACGATCAACACTAGGATACCTTAGAATCGCTGATTACATGACATTCAAGGAAGCCCAAAAGAAACTCTCCCAAACAACCTTTGCTGTTTGGGGGAAGTTCTTCTGAATAATTTCCCGGCCGGACCCTTGACCAATTCGACCGCACGACTTTGTCGATACCTTTTGGCATTTTTCTTACGGGTCACAGCCAGCCTAGATGGTTGATTTGGATTGCTGTTGTGGATTTGACATTCGGGGTACTTGCCCAGAGCGTGTTCAATCGCCGGGCCTATCCTCAAAGCAAGTCAACCTGTTGCCCCTTGTGGATTTTGGCCGCCGCACAGCTGATCAGCGTTGATTTTCTGTTTGAAGAGACAAACTCATGTTTCTCGTATGCAAATTGGAACGGCGACGGCGCCCGCCTCAGGGACACCAAAACTCAAGAACGACTTGGGGCTGGAAGTGCTTTCAAACCCTCCTCTAAACCATCCCCATACGGCTTCCGTTAAGCGAATCCCCAGAATCATTCCCAAAACCCTGAGTCATTCCCTACTGAGCTCCAGCTTTGTGAACCTCATTGGTGCTGTGCCAATCCTTTGCCATATCCACTCCCGCGCAAATTCAGATGCCGAAGCCGGCATTTTTTTTCGGATTTCCAGTTGCCGGCCTCACGTGACGAGACTCGATCGCTGTTGACACGGACAACTAAAGGATCTGAGCCAAACGGCCACAGGAAACGGCCACCTGCGTGCGTTCGACTCGCCTGGCACGGGCCGACATGGGCACGGGCTCAAAGCTGGACAAAGCTTTTGGGTTGGGGTAATAAAGGAAAACCACAAGGACAACGTCCCCGAAAAGGCGCACCCATACTGTGGGTGGTTGCGAAATCCATTTCGCACCACTTGGAAACCATGGCTGAGGCCACTGTTTGTTGGTGTTTGGTGCAGGATTTGGTCCACCCACAGTATTGATGTCACATCTTAGACAAGGCCTCATGTCCAAAAAGTGTCTGGTCCCGGTCGTTGGTTTCATGGCTCCGAATCGCCTCATGGAACTGGTGCAGCCAACGTGGACAAGAGGGAAGTGCTGCTCAAAGAGTGCAGCAAGCTTTCTGCGAACAGCACAAGCCCGCTTAGACTCCAGCTGCCCACTTGAATGATATCGCGGGCGATTCACAAATTCGGAGACTTGCCCCTGCAACATGATGGCTGGGACGTTTAGGTTGCTTTCCACATGACCGAACTTAAGTCATTAAAGCTAAGCTGAGTCGCAAAGCATGTATCAGTTTCCGAGGTGCCGCTCGAGGTTGCAAACCAACACTTTTGTCAGGACATGTTTAATTTACCCATTAAGAGTCCCAGACCAATGACAAGGCAAGCAAAAACATGTCATTTCATGAATTATACCTTCAGAGAGTAATTAACTGACGGAGCCCAAACCCCCCACGGACTTAGCAGTTCATCTTGCTCTTCGTCGTTTAGCTCCAACAGCTTAGCGTGCTCTTCGCCTTCAATTATTGAACAGTTGCTTGGGCCCAGGCAGCTGAATTCAGCCAGCCCAAGTTGTCTAAAAACACCTGCTTTGGGCTTCTCCCTTGTCAACTTCACTTGAGGTCGGCGAGGCACAGCAACAAACCCAGAGCTCGAGTTTGGAGTTACCCTTGTGGGGGGTTCATGCTTGGTTGGAGGGTAAGGGGCCTGAACAAACCCGCTAGGGGTCACACATCGGTTCCTTTCCATGCTGGCATGATTGTACTTTGGTGCAACTGGAATCCGTTCAACGCGAATCCCGTGAATGCCCCGGCCCGCCTTCCTCCAACCTTCTGCTCGATGCGACCACAGCGCTCCATCAACTGAGGACAGCTCTGGTCTCTCTAAATCCCTTGTAAAGGGCGGGGAACTCTAGACGATGTCCTCCAACATGTCCTGAGGTCGGAGGATTCTTCGTTACAGCCGAACAGCCCCTCTCCAATCTGTGACACCACCGCTATTACTTGACTCTTGACCTACCAAAGGCTAGGCCGATCCCGGGGAAACCTGGCTAGGTCGACTGGCTTCCTGGCAATATGATGTCGCCTTTAAGCATACTCCCAAAGCAACTTCAATGGAGATTTACCCGCATGGTGATGCTTAAGCTGCCAACGAGCATAGGCCAAAGGGTTCCGTGACTTGGCCGAGACAAACCATAAAGGATTTGTCTGCCTGTTCTGGACATGATTTAAACAACACACCACCAAAAAGCAAGACAATTGTTGCTACTCAACAGCAGCATGTGGAACCATTTTGCCAAATGCCTCCAAATGCGCCAGGCGACCACTAAACCATGATATCCTGCCTGCCATGGTTCTGGGGACCCAGAAACCCCCGTGACCCGAAATTGGAGTTCGGGCCAAGTATCGGGTGAATATAAGCCCAAGCCAGGCATTCTTCGTTCTTTTGACGGAAAACTGCAGAGAAAGAAATTGCAAGACCCCAAGCATAATGGAATTGAACTGGAAGAGCTCCGAGCACCTTCCCATTCCTCGCTATGTCAGCAAACACCACGCTCTTACCTGCTATCATTCAACAGAACCAAACCAAAGCAAACATGTTACGATCTGACATGATGGTTGATTTAGTTTGATAAACAGTCAAATGCCCCAAGAACGCCGGCGAACCAATATGATGGATGAAAACACCGGCCCACAAACGACACAACAAACAAACATCATGGATGAAAGGCGCTATCCAACAAGACGTATCAACTACAAGTGACCGAGGCAATGCTTTACTAACATCAAACCAACCATCAACTCCGAGGCTACAGAAACTCGACCACAATACCATATAGCCCGCATTTGTCAATCTGCACGTGGCATGTGAATTATACATTTATAAAATCATATCATGCACGGGCCGTGGCCATGTATGAGTATATATATATATATTTCACTTCTGACTATGACGCATAAATACATTTCAACAAAACTGAATACGCCCACCAACAGACACGCGTGGCGCCCCAGGTGCGTCTCGGGTGCCTGCCGGTGTTGTTTTCTGGGGGCCCAACATCCCCCAGGAGATCTGTGAAGACGTCGAAGCGCCGGATGTCGATCTGCTCCTCAGATTCCCCCCGCAACTCGACTGGGTTGGCCATCGGTTATGAACTTTCAGTTGTTTGAACGCACATGGTGGACATCACTTTACTGGGGGTTCATGGCCATGATGTCCACCAATCAATTTTGAGGTGCCCTGTTAAGAATCATATCCTGAAAAAGTCCGACCACTGAAATGGTCCTAGCATGATGCCCACCAAGCTGTATGACACCCTTTGGTGCAAATCGCTCACATGGGGATTCACAACCATTCTTGCACACCTAGCGGGACACATGGCGCGCTTGATTCAGTCGTAGTTTGGGCCCGTCCTCAAGACCTCAATCGCCAAGGGATGACATGGGATGACAGACCCCGTAATCCGTCCAATGATTGGTATGTCAAAGAACAGAAACAACAGAATCACACAAAACATACCGTATGCCACGAACGTTCAAGAAATCAAGATCTTACAGGTACTCGTGTCTTCCTCTGACAAGTAAAAACAACGGGGTCAACATAATATTACCGCAACCCTTGGTATGTTAGCAAACAACTGGCAGTTGTTTGCAGCCACCCAGCAACAGCGTACTGAACCAACAAGCAGCAAACGCACAGCATGAACCTACGAAGCAAAGATCAAATGATGTCAGATTTTAGCTTCAAACAAGGAATCCACAGGCTGAACTCCGGTCAACTCGAGTCATCGTCTGCTCGCGTCTTGTTGGGTCGCCCCACAGCCTCTGCTTGTCCCTGAGCCGGCGAGTTTACGCCCACCTGCACGCCGCACCAGTTCCTGACCCTGCTTTTTGTTTCTCAGCTGCCTCTGGGGGACCTGGAAATGAAGGTTAACCTTTTGGCGCCATGACGAAACATGGACCATCATGGACCAAAAACGGGGAAACCAAAAGGTCATGTCCGGTCGATTCGCAGGGCCAGTGAGCTTCAATCTTGCCCGGTTCGCTCTCTTGTCGCCAACAGAGGCAGAAGGCAAACCCGCGGGGTTCGCAACTGGTACAGCAAACTTTGTGCGGGACTACCTTTGTCTTACCCATGGGATCCTATGGGGTTCTTCAAAAACAGGCAGGGCTTGGTGCCTTTTGGCTTGCTTTGACCCAAAAAGACAGAAACGGTGAAGGACCTTCGCTTCTGGGCCCAAAGCGACCCCCCCCCACAACATGGATGGTCCGAATGGGGGTTAACCAATCAACCAAAACCTGCTCTTTGCAGACTCACTTCCCGAGTGCATGCCGCAACAAAAGTCCAAACTTGTTATTTACCATCCATCCAAAATGGTCTTCCCAAAATGTTTGAAATGTCCAGGAACTCGGGAAGTAAGTAGATCTCGGCTTTATCTGGCCTTGACCTTTTTGCGCAGGACGGGTTCCAACAACAGCCAAACGGCTTGCTTGGTCCGGAAACTATTTGGAGGGGAGCCCAAGTTGGTGCCGACATGGGCTGTGGCTTTAAAAAAAAATATGTACCCAAAATGGCCCCTAGGTAAGTGGAGCACCTGCGTACCCCTTGAGCCACACCCACATGAATTCCATAAGCCCAGGTGCTATCCCCAGCCCCCCCCCCCTCTTTTGCACCCTTCCGGAACCCGCCCCCCACCCGAACCCGAAGCCGCCCTCCCGCTAATGGTATTACGCACCTAGCAAGGCATCGGCCCTTCGGAACTTCATGGGTCGCAAACCGAAACTTTTCTGGGTCGCGGCATTTTTTGTTGAGCATGCGCTTTCTCTCTTGAAATCCCAAGAATCCAGTGGCCGTGGGAGAAAAAAAGGCACTCTGTTCAAACCCCCTTGCGTCTGTGTCAAAATGGGGGACCCCTAGAACTGTGGCTTTCTTCTTCAAACCAACCCCAAAAAAGGGTACCCTCCAAAAACACGGCCTCTCTCAACAAAAGAGGAAACATGATGAAACATATGGCCATGGGTTCAAAAGCCCGTACCCCAGTGAACATCCCAATCCCCGCTAAAATAGACTAAAATGGGTGGTGAATTCACCTACCCCAAAATTGGTACCATTGGTTTTGACCCACAACCATATGGGCACCACCGGGCAACTCTCGACCTCCAAGACTCCCAGATCAAACTCCGCCTGAAAAGCATAGATGGGGCAGTAGCCATAGCCTCAGACCGCCGCGCTGAGAATGCTTTTGTGGATCCCCGTAGGGTCAATACATCTCGGTTGCGAAATCTGCTCCCCGGCGGGAGCAAAGAATCATTTTTAGTGGCTTAATTCGGAAAACCCATTAGCTGGCAAAAAGTTCAAGTCCTAACATCCATCCAAGCAACATGCACCAAAGACACAAACAAACATCATGATCCGCTTTCTCACCGAATCACACTTGCCTCTCCACTCTACGTTGGGTGAACAAACAGCAGGGACAGGCAGGAAAAGCAAGGATCTTGGAAGACGCCTTCGTCCCTACTATATTGGTTTGTTCCACTTAGGACCAACTTACCCTACTTATAAGTTACTTAACATCAACTTATGTTAAGTCGGTTATAAGTTACTTACGACCAACTTAGACCGAGGTTATAAGTAAGACCTAAGTAGGTTTCTTTTGGGTCGCTTTTCTGTTTTTAGAGGATGGGCTTTTATACCCGGAGGTCATACGAAAGAGTTTTTTTGGTTCAACTCAGGA